AGCAGCAGCAGGAGGGAAAAGGTAGCTAAAATCATCTTTTCTATTGGTTTCAGAAGTTACATTAGGCACTTTTGTGGGCGCAATTCTGATGCCTTTCCGTCCTTCACTGCCATGGTGCTTTCCCATCCGGGAGCTGCCATTTGAACAGAAGGAGCAGCAGGAGCAGGAGCAGCAGCAGGAGGAAAAGGTAGCTAAAATCATCCTTTTCTATGGGTTTCAGAAATTACATTAGGCACTTTTTGGGCGCAATTTTGCTGCCTTTCCGTCCTTCACTGCCATGGTGTTTTCCCATCCGGGAGCTGCCGTTTGAACAGAAGGAGCAGCAGGAGCAGAAGCAGCAGCAGCAGGAGGAAAAAGTGGCTAAAATCATCCTTTTCTATGGTTTCAGAAGTTACATTAGGCACTTTTTTGGGCGCAATTCTGATGCCTTTCCGTCCTTCACTGCCATGGTGTTTTCCCATCCGGGAGCTGCCATTTGAACAGAAGGAGCAGCAGGAGCAGAAGCAGCAGCAGCAGGAGGAGAAAAAAAATGCTAAAATCATTCTTTTCGATTGGTTTCAGAAGTTACATTAAGCACTTTTTGGGCGCAATTTTGCTGCCTTTCCGTCCTTCACTGCCATGGTGTTTTCCCATCCGGGAGCTCAGCAGCAGGAGGAAAAGGTAGCTAAAATCATCCTTTTCTATGGGTTTCAGAAGTTACATTAGGCACTTTTTGGGCGCAATTTTGCTGCCTTTCCGTCCTTCACTGCCATGGTGTTTTCCCATCCGGGGGCTGCCGTTTGAACAGAAGGAGCAGCAGGTTTTCCCATCCGGGAGCTAGCATTTGAACAGAGGGGGCAGCAGGAGTAGGAGCAGCAGCAGCAGGAGGAGGGAAAAGGTAGCTAAAATCCTTTTCTATGGGTTCAAATGCTAGCTCCCGGATGGAAAACCTGCTGCTCCTTCTGTTCAAATGGCAGCTCCCGGATGGGAAAACACCATGGCAGTGAAGGACGGAAAGGCAGCAAATTTGCGCCCAAAAAAGTGCCTAATGTAACTTCTGAACAGCAGGAGCAGGAGCAGCAGCAGCAGGAGGAGGGAAAAGGTAGCTAAAATCATCTTTTTCTATGGGTTTCAGAAGTTACATTAGGCACTTTTTTGGGCGCAATTCTGATGCCTTTCCGTCCTTCACTGCCATGGTGTTTTCCCATCCGGGAGCTGCCATTTGAACAGGAGCAGCAGGAGCAGAAGCAGCAGCAGCAGGAAGAGGAAAAAATTGCTAAAATCATTCTTTTCGATTGGTTTCAGAAGTTACATTAAGCACTTTTTGGGCGAAGTTTTGCTGCCTTTCCGTCCTTCCCTGCCATGGTGTTTTCCCATCCGGGAGCTGCCGTTTGAACAGAAGGAGCAGCAGGAGCAGAAGCAGCAGCAGCAGGAGGAAAAAGTTGCTAAAATCATCCTTTTCTATGGGTTTCAGAAGTTACATTAATCATTAGGCACTTTTTGGGCTCAATTTTGCTGCCTTTCCGTCCTTCACTGCCATGGTGTTTTCCCATCCGGGAGCTGCCATTTGAACAGAAGGAGCAGCAAGTTTTCCCATCCGGGAGCTGCCATTTGAACAGAGGGAGCAGCAGGAGCAGGAGCAGCAGCAGCAGGAGGATGGAAAAGGTAGCTAAAATCATCCTTTTCTATGGGTTTCAGAAATTACATTAGGCACTTTTTTGGGCGCAATTCTGATGCCTTTCCGTCCTTCACTGCCATGGTGTTTTCCCATGCGGGAGCTGCCATTTGAACAAAAAGAAACAAGAGCAAAACAGCAGCAGCAGCAGGAAGAGAAAAAAATGCTAAAATCATTCTTTTCGATTGGTTTCAGAAGTTACATTAAGCACTTTTTGGGCGCAATTTTGCTGCCTTTCCGTCCTTCACTGCCATGGTGTTTTCCCATCCGGGAGCTGCCATTTGAACAGAAGGAGCAGCAGGAGCAGGAGCAGCAGCAGGAGGAAAAGGTAGCTAAAATCATTCTTTTCTATGGGTTTCAGAAGTTACATTAGGCACTTTTTGGGCGCAATTTTGCTGCCTTTCCGTCCTTCACTGCCATGGTGTTTTCCCATCCGGGAGCTGCCATTTGAACAGAAGGAGCAGCAGGAGCAGGAGCAGCAGCAGCAGCGCGGAGGAAAAAGTAGCGAACATCATCCTTTTCTATGGGTTCCAGAAGTTACATTAGGCACTTTTTTGGGCGCAACTCTGATGCCTTTCCGTCCTTCACTGCCATGGTGTTTTCCCATCCGGGAGCTGCCATTTGAACAGAAGGAGCAGCAGGAGCAGAAGCAGCAGCAGCAGGAGGAGGAAAAAATTGCTAAAATTCATTCTTTTCGATTGGTTTCAGAAGTTACATTAAGCACTTTTTGGGCGCAATTTTGCTGCCTTTCCGTCCTTCACTGCCATGGTGTTTTCCCATCCGGGAGCTGCCGTTTGAACAGAAGGAGCAGCAGGAGCAGGAGCAGCAGCAGGAGGAAAAGGTAGCTAAAATCATCCTTTTCTATGGGTTTCAGAAGTTACATTAGGCACTGTTTGGGCGCAATTTTGCTGCCTTTCCGTCCTTCACTGCCATGGTGTTTTCCCATCCGGGAGCTGCCATTTGAACAGAAGGAGCAGCAGGAGCAGGAGCAGCAGCAGGAGGAAAAGGTAGCTAAAATCATCCTTTTCTATGGTTTCAGAAGTTACATTAGGCACTGTTTGGGCGCAATTTTGCTGCCTTTCCGTCCTTCACTGCCATGGTGTTTTCCCATCCGGGAGCTGCCATTTGAACAGAAGGAGCAGCAGGTTTTCCCATCCGGGAGCTAGCATTTGGACAGAGGGAGCAGCAGGAGCAGGAGCAGCAGCAGCAGCAGGAGGGAAAAGGTAGCTAAAATCATCCTTTTCTTTGGGTTTCAGAAATTACATTGGGCACTTTTTTGGGCGCAATTTTGCTGCCTTTCCGTCCTTCACTGCCATGGTGTTTTCCCATGCGGGAGCTGCCATTTGAACAGAAGGAGCAGCAGGAGCAGAAGCAGCAGCAGCAGGAAGAGGACAAAATTGCTAAAATCATTCTTTTCGATTGGTTTCAGAAGTTACATTAAGCACTTTTTGGGCGCAATTTTGCTGCCTTTCCGTCCTTCACTGCCATGGTGTTTTCCCATCCGGGAGCTGCCATTTGAACAGAGGGAGCAGCAGGAGCAGGAGCAGCAGCAGGAGGAAAAGGTAGCTAAAATCATCCTTTTCTATAGCTTTCAGAAGTTACATTAGGCTCTTTTTGCGCGCAATTTTGATGCCTTTCCGTCCTTCACTGCCATGGTGTTTTCCAGCAGCAGCAATAGCGCGGAGGAAAAAGTAGCGAAAATCATCCTTTTCTATAGGTTTCAGAAATTACATTAAGCACTTTTTGGGCGCAATTTTGCTGCCTTTCCGTCCCTCGCTGCCATGGTGTTTTCCCAGCAGCAGCAATCGTGCGTAGGACAAAGTAGCGAAAATCATCGTTTTCTATGGGTTTCAGAAGTTACATTAGGCACTTTTTGCGCGCAATTTTGATGCCTTTCCGTCCTTCGCTGCCATGGTGTTTTCCCATCCGGGAGCTGCCATTTGAACAGAGGGAGCAGCAGGAGCAGGAGCAGCAGCAGCAGAAGGAGGAAAAAGTGGCTCAAATCATCCTTTTCGATGATCAGCCCTACGGATTTCGATTTCGCCATGACCAACCCTCATTCAAAAAAAACATGGTGGTTTCCGTAAATGAGGGTACCCCATTGAAAAAAAACACTTTAGATTGGGATTCTCCATGAAAAGACCATTCAGCTATTGATGCTACTAGTATTGGGGATCCTCCATTTATGGAAACCCAAAAGGTTGGCTGCCACCTTGGCTCTGGAAAATCTCACCATTTTACATCCGTTCCATTGGTGCAAAGAAACCCAATGATGATTACACACACACCAAAAAAAAAGAAATGGGGTGCATGTGTCTCAAAATGGAAGATGATACCCCCAAAACAACAATTTGATAGATTTTGATATTGTAAGTATTGGAACCAAATTGGAATTGATGGACTGTCCAGCTATTAACTAGCTGACATTGCCGATCCTGAATATTTCAGCAGGCGTCCACTCTTTCACTTTGGGATTTAGTAAAAAAGAATCCGTACCTAAGAAATATCATAAAATGAAAGAAAACAACAAGAATTCAGTATTATATAAGATTCTTAAGATGTAATTAAGTACAGTAGGGATCCAAACCATTGCACCCTGCTGTTCAAATTTGCCGTGGGATTCCTTGCGATCCCTTGGGCCCCCCGGCAGGCTGAGAACTCTGAATATCGAGAAACCGCTTATAAATGGTCGTACCGCGGTAGCGCAGAATCAACAGAATCGGAAAACAAACTGGTTAGTTGACCATTCTTCCGGGGTCGGCGGCAGGGGCGGCAGCCCTTAAATATATATGTGTGTAACCTGACACACACAGACATGCAATTTTATATACTTATTTACACATGCATATAAATTCGAGACAAGCAGAAATATCTAGATGTTCAGGAAAACTCATCTCTGACACTGCAGGCACGGTGGAGGTGTCTTGCAAGTTTTTCAGAAGGTACCATGAACGGTGGAGGTGTCTGACACTGTCATCCGAAAAACTCTCAGATACAGCGTAAGATCATCCGCGTACCATGAACGCTACCATCCCACCCCACCCCACCCCAACCCATGTCTCTGAAAAACTAGCAAATTCCCCGGGGCCGTATTGGACGACGTCAGCAGCAAAACAAGAAGGGAATTGTCAATGGATTATCAATGAATTCTCATAAATTATATATCTGTTTATCGCTGGTCAATTGATCCATGTTCTAAATGTCTTCCATCCTGGCACCAAATAAGGAAATGGTTACTTACGCCATTGCTTACGTTTTTGCTTAGGCACGCACAGGTTTTGCTTACGCGCATATCTTGTCTTACGCATGCAGAGCTTACGCTGGCTTACGAGCACCACAGTTTTGCTTACGCCACACCCTTACAAGGGGCCCCTTGCTTAACATGAACACAAGGGTTTAGAACAAGCCACATTTTTTTCGGCCATTCAAGTGCTTCAAGTTGCTCTACCCGTCCAACACAAGCACTTTGCCTTGCCTCCACATTGAACCACTCCCCAGTCTGAAGGTCTTTGACCTGGAAACAAATGCTGCTTGGCATTTCTCATGATGAAATGGTCTCAGAAAGACATGCAAACAAAATGCCAAGTGTTTATACCGGACTGCTTAGGTTCAGTACTACATTTCAGTCTGGCCTCAAGTCCAGGAGCTGAGCTGCAGGGTGCAACTGTAATCAGGGACGAGTCTGTGTGCGCCGGATACCTGAGTGCTTCAGGCCTATGGCCAGTACAAATTTTGACGTTGCAAAAGTACCGGTTGCAATTGCACATCTTCCCGAGTGTGAGGCATTCCAGGAGCCTTGGAAGAAAGCAATCGAAGATTTGCCTGTCATGCAGACAAACCGGATTTATGGATTCACGGGGATAAACGCTCAAGTGACAGCAGCTCTTTGAGTCAAGCCACGAAACACACTTCCAAAAGTTTCAAGCATAAACGGAAATCCACATGCAAATTAAGGTTCAAGTGGCCATTGAAGACTGTTTCAAAGGAAGATTCCAGTCCCAGATTCTAATCAAAACACAAGTCAAACCACTGAACACAGGTTTCAAATGGAGGTTTTAGCCCCCTGGAACGGAAATCTACATTCAAATTAAGTCTTTAGTGGAACCACTAAACACTATGTCAATTGAGATTCAATCCCAAAAACGGAACTCCACATTCAAATTGAAAGGCAAGGGCTCTAGCTGGTAAGGGTTTTTTCTGACTTGGAGGAATGAAAGGATGTGACTCTGTGAGAATCATCTTGACAAGACACTGGCGCGCACAGCAGTGTGAATTATGAGCAGGCACGAGCATTCGCGAATGTGTTTGAATTCGTACATGTTCACACTCTGTGCATCTTGCAGCTTCCACTAACATCGAATTGAATTCTCATTCGTTCCAATTAAAATCGTTCAATTTGCGCTGGCGCGGGGTCTGCATTTGTCTGTTTAGAACCGCGTAGCCACATCAAGCAATCTATATAGTCTGGTACAAGACAAGCGTCAAGAACTGCTGCAAGGGTCCGAATTACAGAGTGACATGTATGTGTACATACATACATATATATATATTATGTCTATATCTGTGCGTGTGCATGCATGTAATGCACCATGTATATATATATATATGAATGTCTGTCTGTATGTCTGTCTGTCTGTCTGCCTGTCTGCATGTATAAGTATAAGTATATGTAAATGTACATATATATATATGTATGTATGTATACATATATATGTATGTATATATATATATATATGTGTATATATATATGTATGTATATATATATGTATGTATATATATATATGTATATATGTATTAAATGTATATATGTATTTACATATAATATATGTATATATGTATGTGTATACGTGTATATGTGTATATGTGTATATATGTATATATGTATGTGTATACGTGTATATGTGTATATATGTATATATGTATGTGTATACGTGTATATGTGTATATGTGTATCCATGTGTTTATAATATGTATATATATGTATGTATATATGCATATGTATATGTAAGAGTATGTATGTATGTATGTATGTATGTATGTATGTAAGTAACTATGTATGTATGTATGTATGTATGTATGTATGTATGTATGTATGTATGTTTGTATGTATGTATGTTTGTATGTATGTATGTACGTATGGTTATATATATTGGTTATGTATGTATAGCTATGTATGCTCATGTATGGTCTTGTATGGTCATGTATGGTCATGTATGGTCATGTATGGCACTGTATGGCAATGTGTGGCAATGTGTGGCACTGTATGGTAATGTATGGTCATGAATGATCATGCATGGTAATGTATGGTCATGTATGGTCATGCATGGTCATGTATGGTCATGTATGGTAATGTATGGTAATGTATTGTCATGTCATGTATGGTCATGTATGATCATGTACTGTAACGTAACGTACTGTAATGTAATGTACTGTAATGTAATCGCATAATGTACTGTAATGCAATATAATGTAATGAAATCCGATGTAGTGTAATGAAATGACACGCAATGTATGTAATTAACCATATACACTTCATATCCACATACATACAGCATATATATAATACTATATAATATATCAGGTGCATGTATATTATACAAAAATATAATTATATATATATACGTAATTACATTGTAACATGTACATATAGATATGTGCCTGCATAGATTATGTATCATATGCGAGTGTTTGATATGCACATCATGGTCAAGACGATTTACGTCCGGTTCTGTCTTACCACATTTTGTAGGACATCGAGATAGGCGACTGTATAGGCAAATGCTCCAACCTGGAAAGACTACGACATACTACAACTTTTGTCCCTGAAAGAAAAAACGCGCACTGGAAAGAAATTGGAAAGAAGAAAATGTCAACTCTTGCTGGACGGACCAACTCCACGGTGGCACTTTGGGATCCTCTTGCTTGCAAGACGGCCTGGCCAGTCAATCGTGATTGTGATGGTTTCAACATATTTCAAGGCCAATCACGCACACAAAATTCAAAGAGGCGTCCGGTGATGCTTCTTATTTCGATTCTTGACAGCTGTTGACTGCATCATCCTTTTGGTCTGCAACATGAGACATCTTCCTACATGTCACATTATGTACACACATGTTGAAGAGTCATCAAAAAAATCTGATGAATCGATTACAATCATCGCATGACAATGCAGATTAATGCAGGCTGTGATCTGCACATTTCATTTGTATCGTGGAAACCTTGGTGAAACGTATGGGCAGTTCTCGATTCTGCAAAACGGTTTGTCAGTGTCACATCGATAACAGCATCAATATCACAGCCAATCAATTGCAATGTTGTAATTAATGTAAATGCTTAAAATGGATGTAAATGGTGTGTTTGGGATTTGTACACAAGGGCGTGCCTTGCTCACTCACCATGTGCGTAAACGAGTACATATACTCTGCATTGCAGTATGGGTGTACAGTAAGTAGTCCATATTTGCACAACAAACACACCAACATCTCAATCCATGCTAAACAGCCGGCCTGAGGGGCTCCAGCGACAGACACCACAATTGGAGAGGTGCTGATCACACTGCCCTGGGACGGAACGAATCAAAATTGAAAACCTGAGGCACAAAGCCTAGAAAACCTGCTTTGGCTTCGAAATACTGCCTCTGGCCGTGCACAGAATCCCATGTATCCATCTCAGAACTTAAGAAAGATCACAACAGCACAAATGAAATGAATCTGGAGAGAGGTGTCAAATTCAGTTTTGAACGGCCTTATGCTACAGCTTTGCAAGTTTCGAACGGGACATAATTACACAACACTTAGATACACGAGGATAGTAAAAAAGCTAAGTTGCAAACATCAAAACACCAGCTTTTGCTAAAACATGCTAAAACTTTGCAGCATGAGTTTCCCGTTGCTGTGCGCCACAGCTTTTGGAATTCTTACGAGGTCCTATATAATCTTTAGCTTTTGCGGAAGCACTATAGATTGGTATTCTCGAGGTTTGGCCCCTCACTTGTGTGTTGAACATGATTGAACTTCCGATAATCAACGCGTTTCAAGCAGCTTGCACAACAGAGCACCGGTGCCCATTTGCTTCAACGGCTGGCTGACCTTTAGACCGTTCAAGCATGCCAAACTGCCAGCAAGACCGACAAGTCGGACCTTAGAATCTATATTCCGATGTTCCGACGCAATTCAGAAGTGCTCGAGAGCATTCCAGCGTTGCAAAGTATGATAAGACTATGATAAGTATGCGAATGTGAAACATGTGAAACTAAAAAATGATCCGCGAAGGGAAGGACAACAAGCTGGCCAAGGTTCCCGCTGGTGTTCCAGCAGCGGGTGGCTCCGTGGGTGCCTTCCAGGTGGAAAGATGCAAAGAATCTGAGAGAATCTGAAAGAATCTGAAAGAAAGCAAACATGTTCAGAAGATTTCAGAAGCCAAACAGTGTCAATTCTATGTTTATCGTCAAAATATATTTTTCATACTTGTTTGGACTATTTTTATCTCCGTTGACAAACGCAAATCATAAACAGTTTCCACCTTCAAATCTCCAAATCCTCGACTTTCAAGTGGACGGTCATAATGAATGCACCTGTCAGACTGGAAGTTTACACCAGAAAGGCATTGCACTTGACCCATGGACGATGACAAGGCATGACAATACATGGTGAACATATGTGAGCGTGATACACAAATTCACTCAAGTGACAAACGAACAAATCATTATCTAGAAGGCTCTTGCAATTTTGCTGGAAATCCCGACATGCAATGCCTCATGGTGGAGGAGGTCTCAGTTGGCATTTTTGCCAGCTCAACTCCAAGTTCTCGCCCAATCTGACAAAAAGCTGCGACATGTGCCACCATGGCTTGCAAGCCGCAGTTGGCATGTAGTAGATGTGGTATTAAATGGTATAAAGTGGTTCTATTCTATCTATGCAATCTATATAATAACAATTATATAAGTATTGTGTGTGTATTTGACAGGAAAAACGGTCATGATACAGCGACAATCTTGACCAATACATTGATCAGGCTGGGCTGGTGGGGCTGCATAGTTACTGCGTTTTACAGCCAAGACATGATGTCTGGCATCAGATTCCAAATCGTTCCAAACAGCCTCAGCGCAGACTGCAAGGGAGATCTGCTCCAATAAGGCGAATGCTGCCATAGCCTGCCGCTCGGGGAACACGCTTTAGCTTCGCACATCTCATGCAAAACGACATGGCACACTCAAACTGCATCAACCTAAGTCTAAAATTGTTTCGCTGAAGAAAATGTAGCAATATTTAGCAAGGTGCAGTTTGCCGCCAATTTTTCCGCAGAATTCTCTAGTCTTGTGGAGGTGCAACAGCTGATGACAGCAAGGACGCCAGCTCATCTACCTGAAGTTCTGGGTAAACATATGCAAACGTATAATATCATATGATTATATGTAAACAATGACTATAATATATTAATTATAATAATTAGTGTATAACATGAGTTAATGTGAAAAAAACACACCAAGGGTCAACCACGGGGCAGTGATGGGGACGGGTCCTGCTTTGAGTTCCAGGCTGGACGGCGCTTGCTGACTGTGCGAGCAGTCTTTAGCCAGGAATTTAGCGCCGTAGCCTTGATGAATTGCACATATTGCACAGTTTTAGAGAAACTGCCAAAGAGACCCGAAGACAAACTTTGACTATCTTTATCTTTAAACAGCTTATATAATATTATATATATATATATTCATCTTTAAATGGTCTTTAAATATCCATCCAGTTTATATTAAATATAATTAATTATTATTATTATATATATTGTTATATAGTTTTACAAATCTTTACATCCAAGAGGATTGCGATGCCACGAGTGAGAAACAGAACAACCTCATTTGAAAGCAATGCAGACAAATGCCAGCAAATAGGACGTGGCCAACTGGCCGACTTGGTCTCTGAAGCTGAGATGTTCGCTGCTGAAGTGCCAAGGGAAGACTCACGTTCAATGCGTGGCTCAATCTCTCCCTGAAATGGAAGCTGGCTTTGTCACTGTGATCACTCTTGTCACTGTGGTCACAAACTCACACACACACGCACTGATAAACTGAAGACATTTCCTGCATCTGTGAAGTTAAATATGCAATCTGGAAGCAAAGCGGGTAGTTGCCCGGTAGTTGTTCAAGGCCTGAACGTTCGTTGACAGCAGAGAAGGCTTTGAGTCCTGGTCAAGATCTGGTCAAGATTCAGCCAAAGATGCCAAAAGTTTGTTTGGTGGAGCAAGTGCTGACTCTGAACAAATAATTACATGATATTGCATGATATTGCTATCTTTACAAATCGCAAATCATACAAATCAAAATCATTGCTCGGCACCTGATGAATTCTACTTTGGCTAGATCGAAGTGCTCTTCCGCTTTGTACCTGAGCTGCAATCTGCAGTTCTTCATTTTTGGGAAATCGGCTATGAGTTCAATATTCTACAGTGCCTTCTTGTCCAAGCCAAGAGGATTCATCCATATTCATCCTACTTCTCTGAAGTACTTCAAAATCTTCAAAGCTGCTGAAACTGGAAAACTCCATCGATCTCCAACCTTCCAAGATCTTCCAAGATCTTCCAAGAGTCTAAGCTGTCTTTAACATCCCAGTCCCCAGTAGACTCCAGAACTTGCCTGTGGCATTGACTCGATATGACTTGGATTGACTTGGTCAAGTTGCAGCAGCATTGGTGGCGATCCAAGAAGCAGCAGCAGGGGCCAATGTCTCTTCCTACCATGACAAAGGTGGACGAAGATGGCATAGTTGCATCAAACACCATGAGTCCGTTTCAGCAGGATTCACCATGTCCTCAGACCCTTGTGCTGCTTCCGCGCTGATATTGCAAGCGGTTCCTTGCCACCCTGTTTCGCAATCACAAATACCAACCTCGGGCTGCACTCGGCTTATCATGGCTTATCCCAGCTGCATAACCCTCTGAACTTTTAAGTTGTGGAACGAGCTGCATTCATTGCTACACAGCTCGACTGTCTCCTTTTCTTTGGGCTGCATTTTCACACTCACACTCCCCACACTCCCATGCTATTCCGTTTTTCTGCTCCGAGAAGTGGGATGCAAATGCCACGGACTTGCAGCCAAGAAGCCTTACATTCTCCATGGCCACTGCATCCACCGCTGCAAGTTACAGTACGGAGTTCATCTTCCTTGGTGACCTGCGAGACTCTAAAATGCCAAGCATATGATGTTTTGTTGTGAGGTGGTTGACATAAACTTTGATGATATCTCTACGGCCTCTGCGTACATACACACAGATATTACTATTATAATAATTATAATAATTATAATATATGGTGTATATATATATATATATATGATATATGTGTGTGTGTGCGTCGATATACACATATACTATCATATACTCATGGGTAAACGGACGAACCAAAGCAATTCAGGAGTTGTCATAATATGTGACAGTGCCCTTGAAAAAGAAACATGTATTTTTCGGTGAAAAAAATAATTGAACCAGGCCTGTTGCAGTTTCAGCTGCAATGGCTGAATCGCGGGCTCAGCGGTGCCACGCTCACATGCCTGCACAGTTTGGGCGTTACATGGCGTTATACCGAAACAACCAGAAACCACACTGCACAATAGAGTCCCATCCTTCCAGGCAAACATGCAGAAAACCCGCAAACACTTTGGCTTGGATTGGGGCAACGATGGGTGGAGCAAGGTTGAGGTTCGAATATTTCGAATTGCGGCTGGCACTTGTGTTCGCATTTATATGATTTATGATTTATGTGCATTTATGATTGAGTGTTATCGACAGTGGCCACGAAGTTGGAATCGGGGTGGCAACTTCTCATTTCGGTGAGGATTGCTTTTGACTTTCTGGCTACAAGAAGGGAATGGTATGGAAAGGTCTTGTATCGTTGGCCGGAAACATGCGAAACTTCTTGCAAGTTCAATTTCCATCTGCACATGATATGGATATCATATGTGAGTGACATATCAAATATCTCATGTATCTATTTATGTGTTTGCTTGTTGGTTTGTTCGTTTGTTGTTTCTTTGTTGTTTCATTATATACAGAAAATGGTGTACACACTATGCATTACAAATTTCACGTTCTACACTCAACATTGTACTAGACTTTGTTGTGTTACATCATTTGCATCCTATCATGACATTATGGCATATCATAGTATCATGCATTCATTACATTTTGTCACATGCAATAGATCATATTAGTTATATCGGATCGCACTGTGCTATACAATACAGTACAAGTATATCATAGCATATTTTGACCTATTTAGATATATTTAGATATAGATGTATGGCATGTCTCTTACCCTTCCGTCGTGTTATTCAGGCCGTCTGGATCAGAGATCTGCGTGGAGATTTGGCTCGCCCATGTCGTGAATCTCCATACAATACGTATCTCCGTATCTCTTCAAATTGCTGATACAGTAATGCAGAGGATCAAGATTGCCACGGTGCAGGCTCAATATTCAAGATGCAGAGAAAAGAAGGAGGACACGGACACAAACAATGGATCCAGCTTGAAAACAGAAAATCTTAAATGATTCCAAGGCCTTTCCATAGAAGCCTTCATTGCATCTGCATTTGCCAGACCTAAAAGACAGAGGAGTTGGTGCACATACTGCACTTCTAGTGATTCAACTGTGGATCAACTATGGATCAACTGTGGATCACCGAGCGATCAAGTTGCACAAGCAGCTGGTCTGGTGATGTCCGGTGTGACAACATGTGAAGTGATTGTGACTCAACTCAAAATGCAACAATGCTATGGCTTCTGACTCACAAATGCCATTTCCAGAGCATTGACCCGCGCAAGAAGTTGCAGCCTTGTCACAGGCAATAGTTGCCCGTGGAGAAGGAAGCGCTGGCAAACCGCTGGCTAAGCTAATCCAAACATCTGCAAACTGCACTGCAAAGCTCTCCAGACTCAAGGAGACTCAAGCGCCTCTGCCAACTCCACCAGCGCTGGTTGCTCGCTGGTTTGCTCATAGTCCTCTGCAACTCAAAGTAACTGTAGTAAATCTGCACGCTTCAACGACATCCAAAGATCATCAGAGATCAATTTTCTTCTTACCGGGTTTGATGCTCAGAAATGAAAGTGGACTGGTTTGCACAATGAATACTTCAATCTGTACGTACAATTACATACATGTACAGTATATTCTGTGTTATATCATCTCGACATTTATTTCATAATATTTCATATGTGTCTTTCAAGATCAGGTCCTGGCAGGACAAGCCGGCCCAACCATCATGGCACTTGCAAGTTCCGTCGTGACAATCTCCGCGACTGTTGCAGTTCAATGGACAAGCCTATCAAAATCATCAAAGAATTCGAAAAATTGAAGCAGCGGTGTTAGTGTTTTGCTTAGTGTGTATGGTACGATTTCTGGCAGCCTTCCACAGTGTCCCTGTGATTTATTTGTCTTCCAAGGTGGGAAATCTGAATGCAAAACGACGGAAAAATGGTGACGATCTGTGCCTTCGCTTTCTGTTGCTTCAGAGGGCTCTGCTGCTTAGCAAGCTCCTCACTTTCTGCAGCGAGTCCTTCACGAACAGAATCAGCTGATGACAAAAACGCATTTTGAAAAGTCGATTCGTGACTTGAATTTGTATTCCAGCATTCTGAAACCACTGCCTTGTCCGTTTATCATTTCTCTTGTCTAGTCTCACTGCATGTTTAACTTCTTACACATGCATCTATCTGGAAGCCATATGGGTATCAGTATGATCTTGATACCTCGTCGCAGAAAAGCCGCAAGGGAACTCTGCGTTTGCAGCAGCTGGGAGCAATCCTGGAATCCAACTCAATCATGTCTTCAAAGCTTGCATTGGTTCAGCTATGTTCGGTAATTCTATTCGACAAGGCATCAGCGATGGCGATGCAAATTGATCCACCATTTGTCCTCCCCGCCGTAGCTTGCAGAGCACTTGCAACGCCCTTGCAGCACTTGCATTTTCCAACTGAAAATGTCAACATCTGAAAGCCCTGAAAGACGGCCCAACCATGCCCAACCTGTAAGGCATTGCCCGTTGCCACTACAGTCGTTGAGACACCGTATGTGCTCACCTCGGCAAAACGGCAAAGTGCGTTGCATCGACTATACAGCGTTGGCGTCTACACAGAACCTCACTGTGTTGAATCTGTAATATTCTGTAATAATCTGTATTAGGCATCGTCTAGGGTAGTACTGGCGTATCGTATTCCATGCGCGCGCGCTCCTTGCAGCCATGCATGCAAATATCTATGCATGTCTATTGGTAGATTCACAACAAAATGCAGCTGACAAAACAGAGAGGAATCAATTGGATTCAATTGGTAGCTCAACTCCTTCCGACGTGGTTCTGAATCGATCTGTGTCCAAGTCGCAGCTTTCGCCATAGAAACCGTTGTTGCAAAGGCACTTTCCTGCTAGGCACATGCCCTGATTGCTACAGTCTCCGCGGCAAGGATGCACGCTTGCCTGCCGACACTTGGCGGTTGATCTTTGCGGCTCTGGGGTTGTTAGACTCGTTCGATGTTGTTCGGGTCTGTTGATGTTAGAAATGGAAGAAACCCAGCTGAACTGAGGCTGCAACAGCTGGTGGTGCCTACACAAAAAGAATAAGTAAGCAAGGAAGTGCTGGTTGGAGAGATGGTTGGAGCATGTTGGAGCACACTTGAGCTCATTTCACGTGCAGGAAAGAACAAGTGGCTTTCAATCTTAGCTGTGAACAAACTTGCACTGCAACTTGCCTGCATTCCAGCAAACTTGGAGCCTGGGATCTCATCCTGGTTTCCACAGTCGGAACAAGTGGGTGAGACATCTCCGGGATGCAGCAAGGACAAATAATTCCCTCAATTGGTGAGGAAGGGGGCTGCGATACATCAGAAGACGACAACAACAACAACAACAACAACAACAAAACAACAACAACAACAGCAACCACAACCAACAACCAACAACCAACAACAAAACAACAACAACAACAACAGCAACAACAACAACAACAAAAACAACAAAAACAACAAAAACAACCAACAACCAACAACCAACAACCAACAACCAACAACCAAACAACAACAAACAAACAAAAACGACAACCAACAACAACCAACAACAACCAACAACAACCAACAACAACAACAACAAAACAACAACAACCAAACAACAACCAACAACAAACCCAACAACAACCAACAACAAACCAACGACTAAACAACGACAACAACGACAACAACGACAACAACAACAACAGCAGCAGCAGCAACAGCAACAGCAACAACCACACCACAACAACAACAGTAACAACAACAACAACAACAACAAGAACAACAACAACAACAACACAAACAACAACACCGACGACAACGACAACGACAACAACAAAACAACAACAAAAACAACAAAAACAACAACAACGGCAACAACAACAACAACAACCAACAACAACGGCAAAGCAACTGCAACTGCAACAGCAACAAAACCAACACGAACAAGAGCACCACACCACCAGCAGCAGCAACCACAGCAACAGCAACAACAACAACAACAGCAACAGCAACAGCAACAGCAACAAAACCAACACGAACAAGAGCACCACCACCACCACCAGCAGCAGCAACAACAACAACAACAGCAGCAACAACAACAGCAACAACATACAGCAGCAACAAAAGCAACAACAACAACAACAACAGCAACAAGCAACAAGCAACAACAACAACAACAACAGCAACAATGGGTGATGCCTCACAAGCAGGGAATGTGCAACGTCGCCAAGCCTTCCGGCTTCGAGCCGTTGAAACGGCTCTCTCAACTCGCTCGATGGCGTCTCGAGAAGTCTCTGATCTTGCTGCAGCAAACAACCTCACACGCGACACGACTCACATAAATGCCAAGAAGCTTGGAGCAAAGCCATCAATCAGTTTGTGGCATATTTGTGGCATTAGTCAAGACATTTCTGAGAGCAAGACATTTTAAATACGTTTACATAAATTGTATTAAATTGTGTTTAAGCCTTTGCCACAAGCGCAGTAGGACCCGGACTTGTCTGCAGTTGCCCATGCACTTTCTGCAGCTCTCCGAGATTGAGCAAAGGCTAAGGCAGATCTCTTGGGCATTGAAGGCATTGATGCAGGAACTGATGCAGGACTCTCGTCAAATAATGCTGCAGTGTCCAAAGTTTCCTCTTTTGAGTCAGTCATGGGAAGTTCGGAATCCAGTGAAAGTTGGAAGCTGCAATCTCTCCCTGCCCAGTTCCCATCACAAATGCAGCTACCCAAAAGTCCGCACGAACCGTGTCCAGAGCAACCATTGTGGCAAATGGCTGCCTGCGCTGGCAAAGCCAGGACCAACCATCCGAGAAGCATTCCAATATGGTTACAGGCTCCTCAGGCTCCAGTCAGACCCTGCGTGTGAGCCTCCAGCAGAGTCAATGTCTAGTATGTCCCACGGCACCAGGCCGCCAGGAATCAGTTCACTAACAGAAGCCAATGAGCCGCTAAGGGCTGCGGCAAGCGTGTATCGGAACCACCGGAAGCTGCAAAGTGTCTTTTCGTTTCCTGATGTTTCATGATGTTTCCTCGCATTTCTGATGCTTAAGTTTCTCACTTGTCGTTTCCATCTCTGCTTGCCTGCTGAAGTTCTTGGGGACACTTGGGCAAACCACGCCGGAGCTCGAACACCTAGCACTCATCTGCACTCATGCCTTATTGCTCAAATCAAATCATCTATGAACCATTATGAACCTATATATCATTAAGCTTGGATAAGTATGAACTTTGAAGAACATCAATATACTTCGATGCGACAATTTTGCCGGGCAAGGAAGCGTAAGGATGCAAGGCACCTCATACGTGCCAGGATAAGGGGTCAAGTAACCTCCAGGGATGGGGAAGAACTTGAAGGTCTCCTGGCTGAGAAATCACAAGTTTTGAGGGAATGCGATTGATGGAGTCCATCGTCTGCGTCTGTATACACAGTCCACTTGTCCATGGACTATATAAATATAAACATGATATAATGATATAACTTATATCCCTATATGCAATAGAATGCAATACATACGTAGATTCAGAAACAAGTTGATATGGATTGCATATGCTTGTGTCATACATATATTAGAATATCAAATGAAACAAAGTTACATTACTGGAAATAGAAAGACTTTAAATTTCAATGCGATCCCAACGCACAGGCTGGTGGTTCCTTGTATTTGGAAGGACATTGAAAGAATTCGCGCGACTGCGCATACAGCTTTCTCAGGTCAGGCAAATCCTCGCAAATCACAGCAATTGGCAAATATGTTTACGTAGAGCGTTGACACGAGGGCACAGCAACTTTATTTCCACAGTAACTCGAACACACTCCGCGACCTCATTTCGCAGCTGCAGGATGGCATATCTGCCAAAGTCCACTGAAGAGGACAACAACATCCCATTGAAGAAACGCTGCTGCTGCTGCTGCTGCTGCTGCTGCTGCTGCTGCTCCCAACAAATATGGCAACAACAACAACAACAACAGCAACAACAACAACAACAAACACATAAGTATATAATCAAAAGATATCAAAAGTATACGTAAGTCACATGGTCAACGGTCTCATGCCAGGGATACCCTTTTGCTTTGAGCGCTGGCAAGACCTTGACTTCCAGCACAGTCGTTCAATGCTGACCGGTGGGAGGATCCAAGCACAAAATGCTGGAAATATCTGGAAGTTCCTGCTGAATAAGACTCTGGCCCATGCAAGGTTGTCAAACGTTCCTCTGATTTGTACACTTTGCGTGGTGCACGAGATCTGCCTTGAACAAACTTTTAGGAGCAACAGAAAGCTGCGGCATTCACTGCGGCAGCAAATTCATGGAAGGGGGACCTGAAGGGCGAAAATCTGGACCATGTGGTTCGACTCCTTTTCCTGGACAAGAGTCACCGCTCCAAAATATCGAAGCCACAAGGGCAAGTAGGATAGAGTAGCAGTGATCAACGATCATCAATGATCGATAATAATTTAATAGTTTCTCACGAAGCAATCGCAAAATGCTGCATCCCGTCCATCCAGTTCGACGACCGCACTGAATTGTTGGTTCCCGTGGTTTACCTTTGCCACTCGAATGAAATGAATTTCTGCATCCTCTAGAGGAAATGTCAGAAGCTCTAAGCTGGAATATGCTGGAATAGTACAGTAAAAGGGTGCATTGAAAGAATGCAAGGCTTTGAAAAATCCGCTCTCAGTCCCAGACTTGCCCCTTTCAAAGCACACATTGCATCGCAACAACGGACGTTTGTGAAAAGGGACAGGAGGACTACCTCCTAGTTCCAGCTTGTGAACATGAACATCATCAGTGTTGGTCCTCATTTGTTGGAAGAGCTCAAACATGCACATAGAACTTCCTCTCCAAAACTGAAAGAATTCAGCTGCTTTCATAGCTTGTTTCGTGCGCTGGGAAAAAATGTGCCTTCACTTGAGCCTGACAGCTGATTGAATTGGCGCGATCTTGATCTTGATCGATCAGTTTTGCTAGCGAAACAGCCTCGAGCGGATCAACCTGTACCAGCTAGGATCAGCTAGGCCTCCCCCTTTCGCTGCTCTTGCTTGTCTGACCTTCACCTGGCAAACGCTCCTGTGGTGGCAGTGTGGTTTGATGCCCGAACATGCAAAACAGGCCGAGATGAACTGGCAGAGAGGAGATGGATACAATCTGAATCAATGTGAATCAATTATATAATTAGATTAGTTAATATAAAGAAAATATAATTAGAATTAATTAGATATATTAGATACAATATGAATCAATATGATATAATCATCTTCTAGCTTTGAACTGCTGGGCAGCATTGCATATGACAAACACATCCGACAAGATGCCTCCACAACTTTCCCATGGATCTGGATTGATTTCTCCATGACCTTGACCAGTCCCAAAATGTCTCAAGCACGCACAGCAGGGAACATCGCAAACAGCGATTATAGCGCCGTGCACATCCGTACTAGGCTACATAAATATGAATCATGAAACATTTATGAAACTAGCAAAACCATAAGTGTGGCGTAGCGTGGCTCTCTTGGCTTTGAACAAGGCCATGATCTACAGATATCTAGAAACTTCTACGAGTACAAATATCTGCAGTACTACGTCAATACTACGTTAGTTTTCCGTTTCATTGCATGAGCTCATCTTGGAGGTCGGCAGCTTCTCGAACTCCGGCATCTCTAAATTCAACAAAGCCGAAGCCCTGCGCACTGCGCACTCGACACTCTGCACCAAAGTGGTCAAATATATTAAAATATGCTACAAGCCACATCAACCTTAATTTCTTAGGTTCGTCTACTTGGGAGCAGTGAAACGAGCCTTCGGTTTGCCTGTTCTCTGGTTTAGAACGACTGTAGCGTCCTGCTCGGACAGAACACGATCAAGAATCATACCATACGACCCGCCCCTGCAGTTTCATGACATTGAGATTAATCCAGATTGTCATGGATCGTCGGACATGGCTGAGCCAACAACATCAAACAACGTCAATTTTCGACAATTTTCGACATGTCGTGGCTCACTAGACAAAATCGAATGAGCTACTTGAAGGCAAGAGATCTACATCTATTCAGCCTCAGAAGGATCAACAACCAGAGTCCGCAGCCTGAACAGTCCCGTACGTCTCAAAGTGCTTTCGGAGCTCCTTGTCGTCGACCCTCGTCGGACCCAAGAATTTCATAGAATTTCTGGAAATCAGACATATTCAAATATCATGGAGTGAATGCAAATTTGCTCAAATTGGACCACTACCAGTTTTGCTGACACGGAAACAGCATGGCAATGCCCAAAGCAAAGGTATTGCAGAAACAGTCTTTTCTTTTACACCCTCATGCGTATGCGTCTGCAAGGCCAAGCATGGAAACACATGGCAAAACTATGCAAAACTATATAAGGTCCATGAAAGAACTTGTTCATCACAAAGACTGTTTCACAAGCTGAGTCTGCAACGATGAAGGAAGGCCTCCGACAAAAATTCCTCGGCCTTCTTCCTGCGAGACCAGCAGAGATAATCTTGAAAGGAGCCAAGATGAGCCAAGTCAACTATACACATACTATATCGTGCTACACAGTTCAGTCCGATGGCTTTATGCATTGGCTGCAGGGGGGAAAAAAATTCACTGCTTCGTTGCCGTTCCAACCTTGGAGACAGGAGTACCTGGTAAAATGATGCAAAACAAATCAAAACATCGCCCAAGCTGGCATTACCTGGCATTGGATGATCCCGATGAGGACTTATGGACTTATGGGCGCACTCTCACAAGTGGCCAAGGCCAACGCCTTCGCCTTGGACACAGACTACCACAGAAAGCTGCATGATCTTTAAAGATGACACATTAGCCACATTAGCCAATGAAGTTAAGGTGCATTGAAGACTCATAGAAAACTTTCAAACACCTTCTAGTTAAGTGCCTTCTTTACAAACGAGGAACATCACATATGCACCGTCATAATATGTTGCTTGCAGCTGTAAGTCTCAAGACTTCTTTGTGGCCCATGCCGAACTTCATCGGATCAGTTGAGAGGGAATGAAATTCTATAGAATATGAATGATATCCATACAATTTAATATACAGCTTACATCCTCTGCAGGAATCGAACCTGAAGTTTGAACGCCGAATTCTGGGCTTGGCACTTTGTCGATTGCCTGTTGAGAAGTTAAGCTAAATCCACAAGTAGGCAGAGCTACGACAAATGGATGAAAGGAATTGAAACGATCTCTGACAAAATGATGGGAGAAGCGTGGTAAGATGTGGCAAGATTTTTATACTCGAAGCAGTGCCTTGGATTGAACCTCTCTGTGACCATTGACGGGAGAGGCGGCTGCACCCTGTTCAGGGTTTTGCAGGAGATCAAACACTGGCATGCGAGGCTAGTGTTTGGCACACACACACACACATCTAGCCACATCTAGCCACATCTTGCCACATCTTGCCTTGCTTTTCGGCTTGGAATCTTCCGCATCAGGTACAGCATTGGACTGCGGCTGCCATCCTCGCGGAATTGGGCACCAAGAGTCTGGCGTCTGGTCATTGCGCTATAGCCTCAGTATGTCTCAGTATATCTCAGTCCTATTATGTCCTATTCATCTTCTATCTCTTTCTATCTCTTTCTATCCATGTTCTAGAAAGAACATCATGTTCTATCTTGTATTTCTGCCAGTTCCATCGCACATGCCCGCCTAGAGCCATGACCTCAGCTTGAAACTGAGTGCAGTGCATGTGCACAGTGCACAGATCACTCCACGTTTTGTCCGAAATGTCTTAGGATGTCTTAGGTCATCTATAGTCTATATAGTCTATAGATGTCTTACTGTAGGTCATCTTGGGTCACTGCAGGTGCAACTTTGGGCCTTGCGCAGCATGTGCATTGAGTGTGCAATGCGTATGCAATGCGTGTGGATTTGGCATTTTTTGCATCTGGACCCACCTCAACTTACAAGTGACAGGATAACAAGTTGTACCCTGGTTTCAGAATCAATAACCCTAAGACTGGCGTCACACTAGCAGAGTATGAGGACAGATATTTTTCTTGGGGAGAGGATTCTGAAGATCAATGAATCAATGCCACATAATGCCACTATCTGACAGAAACATCAAATCCTCGGCCCTTGGAAGCAGCCTCTCATTTCTCATACTTCTTGTTGAATGATCATGCCGAATCATACCTCTATAATACCGCTACATCTAGCTAATTAAGTTTGATGAACATATGATATGAACATACAAGTAACTAGCTAGCGTAGTTTGGCAGTACCAGTAGGAGTTCCGATTGGCTAGATGCGAGTGTCTATCGAGTCTATCTCTCGCCCCAGTGGAACATTGCCAAGCGTCACAGCAAGCTACGCGATGCACCAAAAACATTAAACGATGTTTGAGTACACGTTGAAACTCAACAATCTGCGCACCAACAACTTTTACTTCGAGCCTTTTTGGCTCCGCACGCGACCTTTATTTTTTACGCAACTTTCCTGAAATGCTCTCGTCTATAGTGACGCCTTGAACAGACATCAATGATAATCAATGTAACATAAGAAAAACAACATAATGCAACATACATAAAGTCAACTTCAGATGCAACAGCTCAAACCCAAAGCAGGGTGCGTACACGGTATATTCATGTATATGACCAGCACATTTTATAGAATTGTATCATGTTTCCAGGCCAGCCTCTTCCCAGGACCTTCAAGGCTTGCCTGTGCCTGATCCAACGCAGAGAACTACATGCAACTACTGCAACTGCTCTACAAACTTCACACGACAAATGTGCGGTTTCTTTGATGAATCTCCTACGATTGAGTGGGGTGGAACATGGTGGAACATGGTGGAACCACGTAGAGCCCATGATCCCAAGGCATGCCAAGGCATGAAACTGCATCAGTTGCATCAGTTGCATCCATGTTGGCCTGCCGCTTGGCAGAGAGACTACCATTGGCCTGAGTCATTATTGCCATCACGAGCTGCCTGCTCTGTCCATACCCTGCATTGCTTCATTCATATCTGTTCAATATTGTTCAATTCTATGCATTTATCTTTTTCAAAGTGGGACATGATAAAAGTTTCAGCTGGTGCACACTTAAAGTCTACAAAGAATAAACAAGTGCGCATAAGTAGACAAATAAACTTTCAGGCAAACTGGGAAGACGTGGGCCAAACAGAACATTTTCTTGTATACAGTATCTGGCTCATCTGTTTGCATCAATCCCATCTAAACCAAGCGTGCAACATGGATGCCCATCAATACATCAATACATGTTAGCTCCCGGACCATGCTAGGCTCGGCAGGCTCGACATCGATCACCTGTCATGAGGCTCAGCAGACTGAGACCATGTTAAAATCCAGCGCGATCCAGGATCTAGTGCAATTCTATTGCAGTGTTCATTCTTCTCATTCTGTCTTTGATCACCATGAGCTTGCCTCATCATCTCGCAAAACTTCCCTCACCTGTCCAACTTCAAGCACTTGCTACGCTTCTCATCATGACCTTTTGTGGCACAAGATGGCAAGAGCATCCAAATATCACACTCTCCAAGCACACCATTCTCACCTCCTCATCATGTGGTACCAGGAAGCCATCCAGCCTCAACTTCACAAAATGGCAGAGACTGCACAGGACAGGACAACCCCCTGCAAGATTCGATAGAAGATGGAAGGACAGCTGGAAACAGCTTGACACAGCTGGAAACAGCTTGATAGCTGGATATCTAGTGCCGCTCGTCGCCAAAGATAGCCAGAGGCGCACACAAAATTTGTGGAGGCTCCGCATTGCCACCGTGGAGGTTCAATTCTGACAAAAAAAAGCGCACTTTAGAAAGGAGACCAACCAGAGACAACGAGATCCCAGTCAGAATGTGAGCTGAACTTCTACTACAATCCACTCCATGTCGTGTCAATTCCAGTCCAGCAAAGTGTGAGAGTATTGATGCTGGCAGTCGCCGCTTAGTGCTTGAAATTTGTGGGTAATAAAAAACATACAAAATCATCCAAGGATTTAAACAGATTCAAAATGCCTGTGCACATATCTTTACTAAGATACACTACGATTATGCAATGGATATGTCATGTCAGTAAGAGACGTCAAGACTACGTGGCAGAAACAGGAATTCGGGACCTCAGGAGGAACGACACAGGGGAGACAGAGAGACACACAGACCGACGACCACAATGCTACTATGGTACAATGCATTGCAAACGTTCACAGTTTGACTCACAATGCCCCAGGCAGATGGCTGCGGCCTAAAAGTCTGGCCACGTGTCCAGCAAAGTCCTTGATGGTAAGAACACTGTCAGGAACATGGACCATACACCTCGCAGCAGCAAGTGGCGGTGTATTTTATGAATTGGTTTGCTCAAAACGGGCACCAGCAGGACTTCCAGAAGATTTGATGGGAGCGCTTGCACCAAATAGTGGCGATGTCTTTTCCAAAGAAAACGCGTTGAAAAATTGCTTGGCCCAGGTGGCTGTGTCCACCCAAACTCAACAGGATCAACGTACCCTTGGCATGAAATCACTCAGCTGATCTTGCAACATCTTGCAATAAGTAACCTATATACTTACATTTACAATCATTTACATGCTTGCGAAAGATCTGAAAGCATCTAACATCTCATTAAAATACCAAATGTTGCGTCCAAGAAGCCACTGCAGGTCTCCAAGCCTAGCTACATGGCCATCTCACCAGTTGTCATCGTCATCAAGTCGCATCAAGGCGCTTTTTTTCAAGGAGCCTAGAGATATCATGAGATATCTAGAGATGCCGAGAGATGCCTGGAGTCGAATAGATCGAATTGTAAACATTCAAGTCGTATCAATTCGTTAAAAACTCCTTGTCTCACTCCGCCCCGAGCATCCTGAGGTCTACACTTGTAGACAGCGCCGCATCGCAATCGCAGGCGCATTGTTGCTGCCAATCTCGGAAATCTGCCAGCTGTTCTATGATTGTCTGATTTTATTCTGTCTGATGTATCCTAATTTGGCCTGAGGGTTCATTGTATCATATCATATCGTTCAAATATGTTCAAATCATATTATCTGCATGTATCTGGTACAACTAGCCCAGGTTTGGGTTGTGGTTGAAATGAAACACTTCATAGGTCCTTCGAAACAAAATAAGACCAGTACAGACTTTGGGCCCGTGTTGGTTGCTCTCGTCTTCTCTGCGGCAAGAGCATGTAGGCGCATCGACAAATATTTATCTGTCCGGGACGTCGTATCTACAAGTAGATGCAGCTATGACGAAAATACATGAAAATACACAGTATATGTCTGTCTATACTTAATAGGTTGGAAAACACTTTATATATTCAAGTGTATTCCAAGGTACCAGTAGATCGCCATGAGTCACCATGGCATACCGGTACTGTCTTTTGCCTTCTTCGCTTTAAGCTCAGAGGAATGGCATGGCAAGCGTGGCTCCATGTCTGGCTGGGCACTATGGCAAAATGGACGAAAAAATGATAGAAAGTGCTTGAAGGTCCTTGCGAATAACATATGACACCAATGCATCATGCACAACTCTAGATTTTTGCAGCAGCGCCGCAGCACCGAGTAAGTAGATAAGTAGCCTCAGAATCACTGGCCTCCGGATTTTGCGGGAACATGAAGTGCAACTCCAGCGGCAAAATCACATAAAATCTGCGCAGCTTCATGGTCATGCTCTCAGCAGGTGTGGGCTTGCAATCTTCTACGCAAGCAGTAGAGCTCTTTCCTTCGCAGTGTACCTGGACAAAACTTTTCCACAAGACTCTTCCAGGAAGCTTCTGCTAGACCAAGAAGTCATTGAGCAACGCTTTCGTCTTCCATGTGCTGCGTGATGAACAGCATGAACAGTGCTTCATCCTGAGAGATCTGACAGGCCCTGTTCGAGTTATGTGTCTTCTTTGCGGCTCAGCAGCCAGCAACTGCATTCATCCCAGTTTTCAGTGTATGTAATGGCCAAACCAGAAAGTTCAACCAAAACCGCCAGGTGTTTCTCGGGGCGTGTGATGTCGAAGCGACCTTCCTTGCCCGGAGTGTCCATTTGAAAGCATTCGCTTTGACTGTACACTGGCCGGTTTTCCTTGAGCACCAAGACCCCCTGGCTTGAAAGACACTGCGACAATCGCTTGAGCAACTCTACCACATCTTGGTCTATCAAGTATTGCAAAGTCCATTGAATCCAAATAAGATCAAACGTTTCGGCAGGACGATAGTCTTCAAGTTTGCTCTGGATGAAAGTACATCGAGATGCATCTTCAGCTAAGTAGGTCTTTGCTGCTCTAAGCCATTTCGCTGATTGATCTACGAGGAAAACAGGTCCACTGACAGCAGGCAGCAGCACGCCCCTCGTCACTCGACCAACTCCAGCACCAACATCTAACGCGGAATGTGGCTTCTGTGGCATACTTTCAATAGCTCTGGCCAGCAAAGTGCAAGAATGCACGAGATCTTCCTCGCTCGCATCATCTCCAATCATTGCTCCTTCTAGAGTTTCTCGGCCTTCATACCCTTCCACCCACCAATCTTCATTCACGCGATAAAATTTATCGCGTTGCTGCCCTTGGACAAGCCACAGTTCCCACAAGTTTGGATACTCTCGCCCAGCATCATCGGCTCCAGAGATGTCTGCTCCAAGTGCACGAATTCGCTGTGCTTGAGACTCCTTTGGAGTCACCAAGGGGCATTTGACTCTCTGACTACGGTGCGGCTTTTTGCCCATGGCCCACGGATGACTAAGGTATCCTTTGGCTGTCAAGTGGTTGCGCAAGTTGTGTGAAAGGTGAAATGTGCAGCAGGCCGAAACATACCGAAACGAGATTGCCTGGAAAGGATGGTACAAGTATGTACAAGTACACTCATCCCCTCGCCACACATCTATCAATGTCTCGTGGCTGAACCTGCAGGCTCAAGTCACAATTTCATGAACTTCACCGCCCCATATACGACTTCAAAATTCCTATGATCGAAGTTTTCTGCCAGCGTCATGGTTCTTTTTGCACTGGCTTTTAACCCGCGGCTTAATGACAATAGAAAGCACAGGTCTGAAGCAGTGAAACACTTTGGGTCACCGTGTTGTGACCGAGTTTTCCGCACTCAATTTTCATCAAATCGATTCACCGCTTTTCGCAACTGCTCACCCCTTGCCAGGAGCCTCGGAGCAGGCCAGGCTGCAATCACACTAAACGTTGTGCTGAATGCGGTCTGAAAATATCTGAAAGTTGTGCTTCACTTTTGAGAAATAAAATGTTGAGAGTGGGTTTGTGGAAAGCATATTGCAACTGAAGGCAAAGCCTTTGTGGTGCGCTTCTTTTTAGTTCTTGATGCCAGGGCAGCAGTTGCAGCTGCAGAAGCCTCGAAAATTGTACAACCACAAAGGCCAGCCGGGAAATACCACCACTCACCACCTTAACTTTGAAGCAACAAAAAGGACTCGCTGCAAACACAGCTGAGCTGTCCATGGGTCGCCTCTGCCACTCGATTTGCAGAGTCCTGCGGAGCTATGCGATATAATAGTATGCAGTGCTAGCTGCTCAGTTCATCATCTCAAGAAATAAATGACGCTCTCGCAATAACGCCGGAACTCAGCCCAGCCTCAATTGCAAAGTCAGGATCAGCAAATAGGGCCTGGTGCATTGCTGAAACTTCAGTTAACTGCATTTACTGCGCAGACTATTTCTTCATGCTAGTGGTTGCCCCCAAGACGGCAGAGTACGCTGACATAGACGGACCACTCAACCAAAATCGAGGCGACGGTGCCTTCAAGTGCTACGAGTATGTTGTTAATATGTCAGGGTGCTGTGACATGCTGTGACCATGTTTTCATTCTGCTTTCCGTCTCCAATACTCTACGGACGGCATTCTACGGCACATCTCTTCCCTCTGGTTTTGTCTTCGTTTGTCCAGCTACATTGCATAGTTTTTGAGGTTTTGCACGTCTCCATACACGTCAGCCTGGAAGCGTTGGTCTTCCAGAATGCGCTTGGCTTTGTCAGCAGCCTGCAGACATCCGAAGAGATCTGAAGAGATGTGGAGAGATGTGGAGAACAAAGACGAGCGAAACCAAACACACTATGAACTCCAGAAACGCGCGGCAAACACCCGTGAGTCACAGCGCGGAAATGAAAACCAGACAGCACCTCCTTGCGTTTTTTGGATGCCCCAGCTGTGGCACCTGGTGGTCTTGAAAGATAAAATGATACAACATGTTTGCCTCATCTTGTCTGTAGAATCCTCGAGTGCAATAATTTGATGGAAATTGTGATTGTTTTTTTGGTTTTGGATGCTCATCGCCTTCTTCTGCAGTTTCTTGCAGCTGCTTGTGGAAGTTTGGATTCACACTAACCTGCATATTGATCAAGACATATCAAGACAGTACGTGTAGCATCCAAAATATGCAAAGTTGACAGCCGATGTAAACAGAATTAAACAGAATCAGAAACAAGAAAGATCCAAAAAGATCCAAAAAGTGCGCCACTCCGTCACTCCATGCGTCAGACCTGGCCTTGCTTTGATCTTTGATCCGAGTTCGCATGGTCCTCTTTGCTTCAAGTTTTTCTCGTACCTGCGACGTGCGAGATCTCGCAAGAAAAGGCGTCAAAAATGTTTAAAAGTTTCATTCACATTCTGTGTCCAGAGTCCAAAGCCTCAGTTCTTTGATTTTCTGTGCATGTTATGTGAGCTGTGAAAAAGCACTACCCCAACTCTTTGTACTCAGAAGGGTCTTTTGCGAATCCTTTCGTTTTACTTTCGCGGCCACAGCGGTGGCTTTCGCGAAAACCATGCTACAATAACCTCTTGAAAGGGGAAAGCCTGTAGTCACATGAGAAAGATATAGAAAGATTAAGTCTGGCATTCGCAATGTGTTTGCCCACCGTCTCTTCACACACCTCATCCGCCCATCTGAGGAGCAGGAAAGGAAGAGAAAAAGAAAAGAGGAAATGGAAAGAAGATAAAGAAGAGAGGAGAAGGACAGGTTTTCACCAGAAAAATGTGGCTAGAAACATGGAGACTTTGCAGGGAGACTGGTGGACTTGGCCCATTGCATCTTTCGCGGCCCTTTCGCGAATCTTGGCTCTTTTGCGGTTCTTTCGCTGTGAGTTGGAATCGTATACAACCATCGGCGAGTGTTCCCTCTTGTCCAAAGATTCGCAAACATAGGCCCGCGTGTCGTGAAGAAAAAAACAAAATCATAACATGAGCTTTCGCGACCTTTCGCGAAGCAATTTTACTTTCGCGGTCGCGACCCGGCTTGAAACGATCTATTGATGTTTTTTTCGTGGCTCATGTGTTTTTGCAGCTGCTTTCGTCTTTGAGGCCTTCTGCTTCCTGTACTCCTCAAACGCAAAGGGGTCGAGAGCAGCCTTCAGCTTGGCATGGAGCCGATAATCCTGACATCTGACAACTTGCAGCAAACTTCGGAGTCACTTCTGGGGAAACACTCATTCGTTCTGCTCATGGATCTCTGCCATGATCAGTCCATGAAGAAGCCATGCATATAGGGCTGCAAGTACTTGGTGCCCATTAGCCTTGGGCACTGTCAAAAGCTGAGGCACCGCTTAAAATCTCTAAATCTCTAAAGTGCATTGAGCAGCAAGGACAAACATCAGCAAACATCAGCAAACACAATCTGCAGAATCTCAAGAAAATTCAAGAAATGAATAGCACGTGCTTTGACAACCAAGGGCCAGAAGAATCACAAACATACAGAACGCCACCAAACCACGGTAACCACACCATTCTGAGCGATTCTGAGGATAGCTCTCTGTTGCACCCAGCTGTTCAAGCTCGTCTTTGGTGACAAACTGAAAGTCCTGGCTTGCGCTGCTTGCGCTCCGTGTCCAGACCTTTGCTGATCTACTGAATCTACTGTAGGTCCCCTACCCAAAAAAAAGAAAGAGCAGGTCTGAGCAGGTCTGAGCAGGTGCTCTGCTTTCAAGAGTTCTAAGTTTGCTCCGCCGGGACTTTTGAAGAGCTGATCTCTTCTCTCCCATGGTTTCGCGTTCTGTTGTTCACTTCTTGCTACTAGTTTAATAGCTCCAATAGCCCACAGCTCCATGGAATTCCCTAGATGGGTATGAAGCACTCACTGATACAAGTAGGCCAATCAAAGCTGGTCAAGTGGGATCACAAACATCTACACTGTAGTCACTGTAACAGTCTGTGACACTTGTACGTAGTACTAACAGTTTAAAGAATGCCAGGCACACCATGCCTGCGTTTAGATGCATTCGAATGATCTATATAATGATAAAGAGAGAACATAGACGACATAGAATGCTCGAAAATACCGTGCTATGATTGCCACACCCTTTTTTGTCCCTTGTAATAATTGTTGTCACTCTTTCTGTTGTCATTCTGTTGTATTCGTTGTTGTCCATTGTTCGACAGTCTAGTATATAGAAAATGGCTGATGCGGTGTGATGCAGTGGTCTTTACTAGTTCTCTATTTCTTCACGCTGTCGGTTGTCACAAATCAAGGCTCTACAATATACTAGTATCATATTATACATAGGATTCATATTATAGAATACACTATATAATTTATTGAATCTGTATTGATTATAGCTGATTATGATATATTAATCCTCCTTCGAATTAGGGGGGAGGTGTCGCACCAGGCTTTTTGTAGTATAAATCCCTGGGTCTTTGAAAAACCCTACAAAAAGGGTCGGTTTTTACGAGTTTTGGCCCTTACAAAAAGCATAGGGTTTTAGCACCCTCATTCGACTTCAAACACCCACCCCATTTTATAAGGTGACGACTTTCTTCCGAATATGGAAGTCGTACATTTGCCGATGACCTTTTTATAAGAAGTTGTGATTTTAGATGGCGTTTTCAGGCATCATTTTGTAAGGACACAACTTCTGGTTCCCTGTTTCTGGTTTTCCCGGACTCGTTGATTTTCAAGCAGCCTTTTTGTAAGGATTCCATTTTTTGCCACCTTTTGGTTTGCTTTATATTTTTTTGTATTTTTGCTTCTTTGGCCTCATTGCCTACCAGAACTCCTTTTATGATGTCTCGCGTTTGTATTATCACATGAGTACCAAAAATAAAAATAAAAATTGAACACGAAAGAACATGTACAAAAAAAAACACATAAGATAACCATGAACGTCGTCACACTTACAACTTGCAAAAGAAAACAGCTATCAAATGATTGAGGCGAATCAAAAACATGTACAAATCTGAACAATAACTTGTATCAATGCCTAAAAAGCATATACTCTTACAAAAAGGCTCTTCTAGTCTTGACGACATGTCCTTACAAAATGTCATTGCACACCCTGCTGAGTTCTTTTTTGTTTTTTTTGATGTTCAAAAACAGCATCTTGAGCTTACAAAAAGACTCAAAAAGACAAACTCGATGGTCTTATAAAATGACTTTGCACCTCAAAACTCTTACAAAATGAACACTTGAAAATCCACAACTTTGCCTTTTGGGTGCCCTGTTACAAAAAGGCCTGGTTAGGGACCTTGTTGTAACTACAAAATGACCCCATATAAACCATTTGTAAGAGGGTCGACACCTTCCATTCTGTAAGGGAAATTCGATCGGGGATATATATTATATTATGATATGTGATGTGATGTGACGTGGTGTGATGTGATGTGACGTGATGTGATGTGATGTGTGCGATGGTTTTCGGACTCACCAAGTTCCGCAATCCCGAAGTCTAGCCAAAAATTGGAGCAACACGCCTCAAACACTGTCTTCTGCTTGCTTTCTTCGAGCTCCTAGTCCACAATCGTGGCGTGGCACGGACCGACATGGATAACAGATGATAACAGTAATGGAACAATGTCATACAATGTCCCTGCAGTGCCTTGATGTCAACCCACTCATTTCTTCCAATGCATGTCATGCTGGACCACTGGACATGCCAATTTGACCGCCCCCTGTGCCATTGTGCTGCTTTCGTGCCTCTGTGATATTGTCCAAGAAAGAACACCACCTTATTATCTCAAAAGATCTCAAAAAAGGATTCAAAAGGCTTCAGCAAGGTAGGAGAAGTCAATTGACTGACTGGTTTGCTGCAAAGCTGCGGTGGTGCAAATCCAATACTGGGCACAAAATAGACCCTGAGCGGATGTTGCTCCATTCTGAATGAGCAACAGCCACACAGCATCAGCAACCCTTCGACATCCTATCCCAGCGCTGTAGAAACATCTGGAGACAACGGATTGGGTGCAATATGGTGCAATGCATTTTGGCATGAAGCAAAGTGCTGGCCAAGCCACCCCAAGCGCCTGATGGCAAAGATCCACCAGTGACACTCCGTAGTATACCCCAATTGCAGTACAGGCACTTACTTTATGCACGTAGTATGCACTGGAGCAATCTGGAGCACAGGTATCCTGACAAATCTGCTTGCACGTCAGTGCTGATAAGAGTCGATTGGTCATTCGCTGCGAAGATCATGCCGGAATTTGGGTAGAAGGTGATCTGGTTAACAACCTTCACAGCTAAGAGATTGAAAGATCTCTGCTCAAAGACATTCAAAGACTCTCTGTTACATCAAAATCTCAAGACGTTCAATACATTTCATCCGACATGCGGCCAAGTTGCACTTGGCGACTCTACGGATGCAACCATGCGGCCACTTGTTGCTGCCCAAACCTGTTGGTTGTTGCTGCTGTAGTCATGGGAAGCCATGCTTTGGGCTGCAGAAAGCACAAACATCATCAAACATCTTGTAGCTGCTAAACCATCTAAAACCCTTTTTTGTGGCAGGAAGATGAAGAAAATTGATTTCTGCTGCGCAATGCAACCAGAAGCAATTGACTGAGAGAAACATAGAGAAACAATCACTGTTCCAGATTGTTCCAGATTGTTCCAGATTGTTCCAGTAGGGTTTGCCATGTTTGCCAGTACGATGCCGCATTGGTACCTTGATGGAACTCTTATCTGCAGATGCCACGAGCAGGTCAGATGATTCCGGTCCGCGGCTGTGAAAACAAAGGGATGAGATTGCGTAGTCATTCCTTGCATAGAGAAATACAGAGAAGCATGATGAAGCATGATGAAGCATGTCAGATATGACTGTCAGGTTGATTTGATTCGAATATTTTCGAATACTGTACACACTGACACCCACAAGTATCTGTTGCCCATTGCAGCATAGCAGGTGCGGACACTCAGAACTGAAGAAAATGCACATGCAAGTCAAGGATCATATGATCACGCTCGGAAATTGGACGACTGCTTCTGAGATCGTAAACTCGAACCAATCCCTGCAGCCAAGCTGCGGATCAAAAAGTGTCACACGTTCGATGCATGAATGTTGCTAGACATAAAGATACACGAAGATACATTCGTGATCATTCGTGAATGTCGCTAGACGTGAATGTCGCTAGACATTTCAAGTTCAAACATGTGCAAAGTCTGCAAATTCTGCATTCAAGATTTTACGAATGTTGTGGTTCAATGAGTTCAATAGTACCCAAGGATACCCAAGGCATATGGTCCTGAGCACATATACCATGGACACAAATCTTGCGAACCGCCTCGGATGTTCCTGCAGCAAAAAACATGCCATTGCTGGAGTACGCGCATCTGGTCACCTGCAGAAAACAAAAGAAACCAAAAGCTTGGATTGAAAGCAAGGCGAATGCAACAGTGTTAACAGATGTTAACAGTATGCTACAAATTGCTACACAAGGAGAGCCAAAGAATGCCAAAGATATCCAAAGATCCCGAAACTTCGGAAATCCGGACTGATCCAGGTCAACACTGCAGGCCTCAGCAGTTTCTCCAATTCCTCCATCATGGACCTGTGAGAACACCAGCCATTCAGATCCATTCAGATCATTCAGTGCTGTTCATAGATTTGAAACATTTTGAAGCACCGAAGTGAGCCAATCAGATTCAATCAACATCAGCCATCCATAGCGGTCCAAACGAAATCTTGAGAAAGGAATGACAGTGCCTTCAGCAACTGGAGCGGTGATGGATCTCGCAAATCGTATGATTCAACTATGCCACCATCTCCACAACAGGTCAGGATTGGCAGTCGTGGGTTCCTAAGCGCCAAGAAGTGCTTGGAACATCTTGGAACATACAAATACTGGCCTTCACTCCCATGACAAAAAGCGAAAGGCAAACTTCTGAGAAGCGCTTTGCTGAAAGGTCTTAAAGCTAGTATCGTCACCACTTCGTTGATCTCAGTAAGCTTCTGCATTTCCAGGGGCGTCAAGAATGTGCCTGCCTCCAAGTCAAGCCTGCACAGCGAGGGAAGCTTGGCAGAGGGGCAGGGAAAACATGAAAACTGTATAAAACTGTAGCGTAAGTGCCATTCCTCAAAGTCATGCAAAACTTGCATAGATTTGCATCTTTTATCGATTTTTATCGTATTGATTCGTATTGCATAATAAATAGATGGGGATGTGCTTTTACAGCTTGTTTTACTCTCAAAAGACATCAAAAGTTGTGCCTGTACAGGGAAGATGAAGATCCACCGACAAAGAGATTGCATGACTCGCTGTCATAGCTAAGGCTGCGTCCACCTGCTTCTCACGTCTGCATTTACATGAGAGAGCACGAAAATTAATGGCAAGTATGCTGAGCATAACAGTTGCGGCGTCAACACAGGCATAGAGAATCATGGAGAGATATCTTGGCATTTGACACTTTGGGACTCGTAGACGGTGATGCCGGCCATACTGAGAGTGGAATTCCAGGGTGCGATCGTCCAAAAGCATGACCTTGCAACACCATGCGGCATGAGAGCCCCTGAACAAAAGAGATCAAAAGAGCATGCAGTGCCATGTCTCAAGTGTCTCGGGTGTTTCAAGTGTCTCAAGTGACTGTCTGATCTCTACAATGTCTGGTGCAAGCCGAGTTCAAGCCAGGCAAGCTGCGAGTTTTTTCCAGTCTTCAGACAGAAGGAGAAAATCGACCACTTCCGAATCGAGGCCACCTTGATGTCACGGACATCTGCAGAAAAGTGCAATATGTGCAATTCAATCTCATACATTCTCATACAATGCCTTTTTGTGGTTTACGGATCTGTTTCTCTACTTCGTTGAAGACGGTGGTCAATTTAGACAAGTCATTTCAGTATTGCCCTTCTGATCTTTTCTGGTATGCTGAATCTTTCTGAATTATACTGATCTTTTGTGATTGAAGGTGGGACTTCAAAACTCTGAAGCTGCGAAATGGCCGGGGCCACAATCCCGCTGGCATCCGCTGAACATTGAGTTTCTGCGGAATGCACTGAGTCTGAGTGTGAATATTATTGAATATCTGAATATCTGCATATGATTGCCAATCCTGAAATACAAACCCCGAAGTTCAACACAGGACCTGTGAAAAGCATGATAGCATCAAGATGGTACTGTACGTATCAACATGCATCGACAATAACAACAGCAAACACGATAAATATGAATTATTAAGTATGATCAAAGATGCAACCCCTGGGCAGCCAGCGAGAACACTTCAGGCCCAACTCTTTCAGATCGAAAATGCGAAGCTCCTCAAAGTTGTGACACAACGGCGCACAGATGCAAGTGATGGCCGGACTCGGAACAGCGAGTGTGTCTGCAAAAACCACAAAAACCCACAAAGTGTGATTTTTGGTGCCTTTTCTGACTTTTCTGCTCTGTTTAAACTTCATGAGAACATGTCACACTTAGCCCAAACGCAGACCAGGATGAAACCACCGGAAAGCTGCAAGGGTCCGGCGCGTAGATGCCAGTCGCAAGGACGTGGTCGCCATCTGCGGATATTCTTACTCTCGATGATGCAACATTGAACTCAAAGTCCTACACACAGAACGACGACTGTCAAGCGGCTGCACATGTTCAATCATGTTCAGCAATCCTTCCTTGTCACTGCTAGTATATAGTGGCTGTCAATCAGTTGACAGAGTGATTTGCCAATGCAAACATCTTGCTAGTCTGACTGCATTCTTGGCAGAAAAGCGCAGCGCCGGACCAGAGTGCAATTATTATAGTGGAGAGATGCTGCCCAGCTCGTGGGCTTTGAATATCTCCCGAAACAATCCGAAACAGAGTATAGGACCTCTTTCATCGCTTTGAATGTCTTTCGATCACCCCATTTCCGACCTGAATCAAGTCGATGCGCTTCTTGAAATCCTGAAATCTGAGGTTGTCTCACTGCAAGATGTTGATCGATGTTGATTCTGTAAATGATCGTCGCAAAATTGTGACAACCAGTCCTCATTGCGCCGAAGCGACCTCAACAGCATATCTGGTGATTCCATGGTTCAATTGAACATCTGCATATTCCTTCTATATCCTTCGATAGGTTGGCAGAAACATGCAGGAAAGATATCCAAAGATGTGTTCACACCTGAAGTCTGCCAGAGGTAATTATGTGTTTGTGTTTATCAAGTCACAACCACATTGCCACAATGACAATGCATCCAAGACTCTGCTTCTTTTTTTGAGCTTCAGCCAACCACTGTGGCAAGGACTTTCCTGCTGAAAGATTGTAGACCTGCAAGACTGCACACATCAGTCTGAGATAGTCTGGGTATGTCTGAGTCCATTTTGTCTCATCGTGTACGCCACGCCTTTATGTCATTGTACTCAGTGACCTGGGCTCTGTCCGCAGTGCAGTGGACAAAGTCTTTAGTAAAAGTACAACACAGGACAGATTGAAAGCTTGGTATGGAGCCTGCATGGCGCATCAGTTCAAACACCACCGCGACATGCGGCCGCATCATTGTGTCCCAAATTCAAGTGGATGCTAGGCTTATCATGCTTATCTATAGTATTCTAGAGTCTCTACATTTGTCTGCACAGTAGATCCACTGGACAGGAGTATACATCACCTTGCACTCAAATGCATGTGCGCAGGATAGGGCTCAAAAATATATTGCTCTGTGGTCTGCATTCAGATCATTCATGCACCATGCAACAGGGTCCTGTTCGAGCGGGGAGATCGAAGCAATAAAAGGCCGATCTTTTCACCAGGAATTGGTCAGAATTTCAGCACAATCACGGAGATGGGTTAAGACGTTTGCTGGACAAATCACTGCTACGCACAATTTCTTGACATATTTTTGAAAACTATGGCAAGCTGTAGCACTTCCTTCAGTTCAAAGCTTGCACGCGTCTCTTTGAGAGAGCAAATTCAAAATGCAGCCAGCTTCACATCGCAGGACTGCTGATACAGCCCGCTATTCAGGCTAGTTATGCTGTTCTGGTTTTGATTCGCACCTCCTTTGGAGCTTTGGATTTACATTTGAATACATTTGAAACCTCTACAAAACGAGGTCTGGGGTCTGAGGATACTAAAACCATCGCGTCCCATGTCATGTCATTGTCCTGCGAACTGCACCCACATCACTTCTGCCAGTTCATGAGCTTGGCAGCTAGACTTTTTGCACTCTTGAACTGATGTTCGTCAAGTTCCATGAATCCCGCAACGCGAGGACCAACGTTTTCTCCTTGCCAAATATCGGAAAGGCTGTCTCTTTGAACTGAATTGATCCACTTGATGAAGTTCACCACATACGTCGCTGCAAGAGCTGCAGCATCCGGATTCAGATTCACGACTCGACCAAAGTGGGTGGGGTCCAGAACCATCAATTCGCTTTCGGTCATTGAAATCAGCAATCCCAAATGAAGCCAACTGGAAGTCCAAAGAACAGGCTCAGATATCCAGTCTTCCCCTGCCATACAAAATCTATCAAAATCTTACAAAGCATGTTGCCTATCATTCGGTCATGTCTTCCCTTTTGCTGAATCTGATTTGCCACGCTCCCAAACTGAGTGTATTGTCCCATAGTGTCCCAAAATCTCCCCTACAACTTCCGGAATCTTGACCCTATAGCCTATCACACTGAACATCTATGAAAATCCCACCCGACAAGCCTTTGTCAACCAGTTCTTTGTGCTCGGTCCCCTTGGAATCAATCCTGCTGTAGATCAACCTTGGTGCAAACACCGAGCAACCTGTTCTACGGTGTCCAAATGTGTCCAAGTAATATCAAGTAATCACCCATATGCAATCCATATGCACCCTCCCAAGATCTCCCAAGCTCTGGTTCCGGCCTTCCGTAGACCACTATGTACATATGCGTTGCAGTCTCCCCTGGAATGAACAAGGAGTCAGTCCGTGCCAGCTGCTTCTTCTGAATGGCATTGTTTGCGAGGCGATGAATGGTCACACGTGAGACCACACATAGTCGAGCAAAAAGAGGGTGCACTGAAAAGTGTGGCATGCAAATCTCGCCTTGGATTGACTTGACTCTTTGGAAGGCATGATAAAATCATGTAAATAATCAACAATGGTCATGCATAATGATCATTGTCATTATTGACTGTCTTCAAGGCTCACTGCATCCAGTTTGTCATTCGTCACCATCCAAGTTGCACTCCAGCTCACTTCGAAGCTGCTCAGAGAGCAGCGTCAGCAACTTGATATCTTCAGCCGGTACATTTTCCTCTTGGCCTCAGGCAAAAGGTGGCACTTTCAAAGCAGAGCTTTACTTTTGGTATCTTTTGGTCCTTTGGTTTTGTTAAGTTTGTTGATGGTTTCCTGGAATGGACATCTGACATCGTCTGACTGGCTCTGCGCATCTTTGTGCAATGTATTGGGACTTTTTGGGACTTTTTGCGGCTTGGTGGCTCTCGAGAACATGCTCAACATATTTCTGGATGCGAGCTGACAGGGTAATGGAGACTCTATTCTTTCGAAGGTGACGTCTAAGCTCCCAGAATTGTCGAGCTCGATTCTCGGTCATGCCTGATCGAATCTGCAGCAGCTTCAGAACAAAATTATGCCTTTGTTTTACATATAAATTTACATATGGGTATGCGGCATGCGTCAAAACCTTGGGTACCCTGGTGAGCCCTAGAATGGCCTCTGATTTTGGCGAAAATCGGTTTTGATCCATTCCCATATGTTGCATGTTCAGCATATCCGTCTTGCATCAACGATACTGTTTTGCTCAGATGGGCCTGGCCCCTAGCTTGCCCGAGTGCGTTAGTGCTGCATTTTGCACAAGCGAAATGTGGGGATCTCTGTTTAGGTCCTTTCAGATATAGTGTGTGGCAGGCTTGGGAGGGCGAAAGAAGAATTAAAACAACAATTTACCAGCATGACATGGAATATGAATGTGAGCACACTCTCGGTTTGGGATGATTCTTGGGACCTTGCTGTGTATTCGTTTTCAAATTCCTAAGTGGGTCTGCTTTAAATGTCACCATGTTTTTTTGGTCATTGCTGCTTTCTGCAATAAATGCACAGCACTCAGGGATGTATTTTGTACAGCAGTCCGCCATTAAGGCCTTCACAATATTGCATGAGCACTCCAGATCAGGACTGGGAACGCACCAAGCAATGTCAACACACTCTTGTTTCGCTCCAAAAATAATTGTCCTTATGTTGGCCTTACGTCTTGCCCTCTATCAGGTTCTGGTCTTGGGTTTCTTTGGATTGTTTGGGTTTGGAGTTTTATCTTGCGGGTTCAGAGGTTTTGCAGTTTTTGCATGTGACACATCATGGGGCCAGCAAGGCAAGGGTGTACTTATCAATGGTTCTCCAAATTTGCGTGTCCATCTATCCATCAATGTACTGTCTGCCTATCCATCTTTCTATCCACCTCTATATATATACATATATATATAATGTATAATCGAATCGAGTAAATCTACCAAGCCGCCAGTATCTGCTTGTTCGTTGAGTACTTGTGTAGCTATACTACTCTTCTTCACTCTGCTCTTCTCTGCTCTGCTCTTCTCTATTCTACTACTCTTCAGAGCTGTACTACACTCTTCTCTACCCTGACTCTGCTCAGAAGTTTCCAAGTTTCCAAGTTTCCCTCCTAAACTTCCTATGAACAATGTAGCGAGATAGTGTGAGGAATGGGACATACTTCCTACTCAAGACCATCGTGCCGATGTGATTTGGGACATAGACCTCAAACCTTCAACAAAGGATGATGTATATACTGTATGACAGCATTTGTCTGGCATCAACTTCCCCATGGCACAAAGGATGTGGGACGACTTCCTGCGACGTGAGACACGTAGGGTAAGGTCTAATACCCTGTACTGGCCTTATTGAATCGTCCTGCGCCGAATCCAGTCTTATCACAACAAATCTAGCAAACGGTGTTCTGTTTATTGGTCTAGCTTGTCCATAGTATCAACATGTGTCAACTTACTATTTGCTGTCAGATTTTGCTGTGTTTATCACTTCTACGAGTATCACGTCCGTTCATTGTGAGATTTTCGGTTTGATTTTCTATCTTCGTACCTCGCCTGATATCAATCTGAGTTTCTGGAGGTCTACACACAGCATTCAACCTGCATTTGGCAATTTGCTACTGCAACGTCCTTCTATATATATATAAGTATATAAGTACATAGTATATAATATATAATAATGATTTATAATAATAGACTGTTGGAACCCAGAAGCATGATAAGAATGAACTTTTGGAAAACAACCCATTCGCTTTCTCCCAAAAACACAGAAGAACATGAGGGCCTCGCAGTTGTGCCAAAGAGCCAGAGATGCTACCCACTACCTCAAACATTCCGAAACATCCCACATCGCTGTCACTGCGCGTCCAAGCCATCTCAGTGAGCCTATTTGAACCACTGATTTGCTGTATGCAAAGAGAACATAGCACGTGCGTACGGCTATGGCAAGCAGACTGCTGGAAGACTAGTTGTCCAAGGCCCAAGGCGCATAGGAGAAACCAACGAGGGCAAAGACTACCACTCCAAGAGCAAACAAACGCTCCTCAATGATTCACACAGCAAAACAAAATCAAAATCAATCGCAACAAGCTGGGCAAAAGCCCTTCTGTTCAAAATGTCACGATATTCAGCGACAATCAGCAATTCCATTGTTGTTGAGGTTCGTTTAAGTTCTGAGGCTGGATGTGCATAGACGCTGGTGTGAACTGCGTAATCGCCCAGTGGAGGCTGGTTGCATACCTGCGGCTTGGATTGGATTGGATTTTGTTGCGTGGTATCCAAGAACAGGGATTGTGATGATGGTGATGATGATGATGGTGATGATGATGATGATGGTGATGGTGATGGTGATGGTGATGGTGATGGTGATGATGATGATGATGATGATGGTGATGCTGATGGTGATGGTGATGGTGATGATGATGATGATGATGATGATGATGATGATGATGGTGATGGTGATGATGATGATGATGATGATGATGATGATGATGATGATGATGATGCTGGTGATGGTGATGATGATGATGATGATGGTGATGGTGATGGTGATGGTGATGATGATGATGATGATGGTGATGGTGATGGTGATGGTGATGGTGATGGTGATGGTGATGATGATGATGATGATGATGATGATGATGATGATGATGATGATGATGATGATGATGGTGATGGTGATGGTGATGGTGATGGTGATGGTGATGAGGAGTAGTAGTAGCAACAGCTGTGGCAAAAACAGTAGCAATAGCAGTCGCAGTAGCAATAGCAGTGGCAAAGGCAGCAGTGGCAGCAGTGGCATCAGGAGTAGGAGTAGTAGTACTAGTACAAGTAGCAGTACTAGTAGTAGTACTGGTAGTAGTACTAGTAGTAGTACCAGTAATCCCTTTATGAATTAAGTGAAAGTGCTGGTGTGAGCAATTTTATAGTGATAAACCTGTAGACGCTGACCCTCTTTTTGAACATGCATCTATAGAATCAGAGACGCCAGGGTATTTTCAAGTTGACAATCTCTATAGAAGTGCTGTCACTGAGGTTGTTTATGAGCATCATTTTCTATAGAACAGCTGACACCAAGTCACTCTCGCAAAGCCTTTTTTAGGTTGGGGGGGTTAGTTGGCCTTCTATAAAATCAGATTCCCCAAGTCTCGTTCATTGACAGCTGACATGAATACTCCAATTGCTCTTGCCTAGCTTATCTCACGCATTCCCAGATTTATAGAGCTCTCTTGCTCCAAGTTTTCAGTGTCAACCTGTTTTCAACATTAAATTTCTATCGAATCGCTGACACCAAGGTCCTCTATAAAATTGCAAACGTTGACACTGGGTAGGTACCCCTAAACAAAGGAGGGCCCTAAAACGCACCATGTTCCCAAGCTTATATAATTGTTTTGTAGACGAAATTGCAAGGAGGATTATATACTAGTACTAGTACTAGTAACTAGTACTAGTACTAGTACTAATACTGCTACTACTACTACTACCACCATTACTACTACCACCACTACTACTACCACTACCACTACTACTACCACTACTACTAGTAGTTGGTAGTTGGTAGCTAGTAGCTAGTAGTTGGTAGTTGGTAGCTAGTAGCTAGTATTTGGTAGTTGGTAGTTGGTAGCTAGTAGCTAGTATTTGGTAGTTGGTAGTTGGTAGCTACTAGCTAGTAGTTGGTAGTTGGTAGTTGGTAGTTGGTAGTTGGTAGTTGGTAGTTGGTAGTTAGTAGTTAGTAGTTAGTAGTTAGTAGTTAGTAGTTAGTAGTTAGTAGGTAGTAGTAGTAGTACTAGTACTACTACTAGTACTAGTACTACTACTAGGTACTAGTACTACTACTACTACCACTACTACTACTACTAGAAGAAGAAGACTATTTCTGATTGACTTGGCCTAATCAAAAAACGCAACCGGAATGGTTTGCAAACAACAAGCCGTCTCAAGCCAAGTTGCTGGTACTCCCAGTTGTCATCCATCAAGTTGTGCGCATCAATCCAGCCTCCTTCACCAGAATCTCCAATCCAAAACCAAAAGCACGCGATAACCTCGCACAGGCATGAATCGCCAGTTCGAAATGAAGCAACAAAATGCAAGTGGTTTCGAAGATTTGCCAGCGGCGAGCATGGTTTCAAAGACTCGACACCTTCCTTTGACGGCTTATAGCCATCTTGATTTCCCTGAACAACAATGCTAAAAACACAACACCACAAATAAATACCGATACTCCTTCAACATGTCTTTACAAGAGCCCCTTCCGAGTGGTGTTTTCGCATTCAGTTCGCTATTGGGTTGAACTGAGCATTGTGCCTCTGCACCGAAACATGTCAGCTTTCAAAGTTTTTTGCTGCAGCACAAGTGTTGTACTAACTCTGGTTTGTCAGGTAGGTGGCATTTATTTTCATCTCAGTTGCCTTGTTTGCTGCTCAGGACCTGGCATGCATTTCTTGCACTGGTTTGTGAGTGCCCATTGCTAGTGGATCGCCCGGGCATTCTTCTTCCCATGCCAAGTTGAGAAATTCTGCCATTGCTGCATCCACAACACGCATTGCAAATTAAGCAAGAGGTTGTCCTGCTGAGGGCTTAGGGCGCGGATGCTGGGGCACCTGCTGTCTTTTTGCCACTAGTGTTGGTTTCATATCATGCTGCTCACAGAGGAAACAACAACCACACAATGGCATGGCGGAACAAGTCAACAAACAAACAGACAAACAGACAAACAAACAAACAAACAAGCAAGCAAGCAAGCATACATATTACATACATACTGCATACATATTAAATACATATTGCATACATACACGCATGCATGCATGCATGCATGCATGCATGCATAACATAACATAACATAACATAACATAACATAACATATCTTCACATAACATAAGATAACATAACAGACATACAGACATACAGACATAGAGACATAGAGACATACAGACATACAGACATACAGACATACAGACATACGGACATACGGACATACGTACATACATACATACCTACCTACCTACCTACCTACCTACATACATACATACATGACATACATACATACATGCATGCATACATACATACATACATACTTGCATACATACATACATACATCCATACATCTATGCATCCATGCATCCGTACATCCATGCATCCATACATCCATACATCCATACACATATACATGCATACCGCATACCCCCCTACCTACCTACCTACCTACCTACCTACCTCCATCCATCCATCCATCCATCCATCCATCCATCCATCCATCCATACATACATACATACATACACACATACACACATACACACATATACACATACACACATTACATTCATTACATTCCATTCCATTCCATTACACTACTCTACACTACATTACATTACATTACATACATGCATTATAGCCACCCGGTGTAGCCCGAAGGTTCCTATCCTCGAACCATTAAACTCCTGGTGCCCTGACCTTTCTAGCTACAATTTACCTTTTAAGGCGAATGAAGCTTGCAGGCACTGACGTCCTGATACCTAAGGTTTCCAGAAGGGCATTTGTTCTCCTCTGATACCAAATGAATTCCTGGGTGTCAACCCTCATACAAGACTCAGATAACCACCCCTCAACATACACTGTTACTAGACTAATTTTCTGGGTTGCAAGGATCACAACTTTAGCAAAATATCCCGCGCCTGGAACATCTAAAACCACGGATCCGACAGTTTCCAGCTCACCACAGATTCAAATGGGGTTTGTCTGAAGACGAGATACGAAAGATTCAATCGTTTATCATTTAATCATGTCTTTCAGAAAATTAAAAATATATTCAACGTTTGGATCACTTGAGAGTTTTCCAAATCATCACGAATCATCCCAAATCGACATCACACCACGCCCTATGTACATCCAGCAACATAACAATACAAGGAAAAACCTTATTCCCAACCTTGTTAATTCATGTAAAGAAAACATACCCCCTCAAAGAATCATGAGTCATCTTCTTCCTGGAGTTTGACATACATTATATATATATATATATGTTGGAATGAACTCACCCCCCATGAACAACCTGACGAAATTATTTTCCTGTTGCCAGACATCTGTACACCAAAGGAAAATATTTTTCAACCAAAATTTCTTTCCTGGGTTCGAAGGGGCGCATGGATGTAACATATACAAACCCGTGATTTCAAGATAATTAATTTTGGTAGTGGGCTCCCCGGAAAGATATCAACACGTGGAGGTTTCCTAAAAATTTTAGTAGGAATTTCCACAGTAAATCATCCATTTTGGGGTACCCCCATTCCAGGAAATCCCCATGTAGAGATGGGGATCATGCATTCGTAAAAACAAGTAGAGCGGCATGCGGGCGGACGTGGCTGTCCTCCCCATCATCATCATCATCAGCAGCAGCATCAGCATCATCAGCATCATCATCGGCATCATCATCAACAGCATCATCATCATCATCATCATCATCATCATCATCATTCTCCATACCGATACCAATATCAACTTCCATCATGGCCATCTCAATCCCAGTATCAATATCAATACCTATAAGACAGTACGAGTAATTCACAAGGACGGGAACGGAGAAAAATGAAAACACACCAGTTAGAAAGGAAACGCCTGAGGCTCTGAGAAACAATTCCCTCCTTGAGACGGGGGGAGGTTTTTGTTCGGGCATACAGTCTGAGTGGCCATGATGCCAAATGCCACTCTGACTTGTTTGATCCTTGTGCAACTGCCATAACGCAACCCTGACAGAACGCCGGAGTAAGGAAATATGAAAACAGCAATAGGCAATAGGCAATAGGATGCAACAGGTGTAAGTGTAAAACCCTGATCCAACCTACGGACCCGAATGCACATCACATGTGCATTCTTCCCCTGTACGCATACCATTGTAGACTGGACTGGGGAGTGTGGGGGGGCTGAAGAGTGCGGAGCGTCAAGTGTGAAGGGTGGAGTGTAAACAGCGGAGTGTACACTCCGCTGGTCTAAAGTGTGGAGTGTAGAGTGCGGAGAGTGGAGTGTATGCGCGGAGTGGGAAGTGTGGAGCGCGTGGAGCGTGTGGAGTGTAGAGTGTGAACTTTTAATTTCACGTTTTGGACTGGCATGGTTCGAAAAAACATGTTCGAACAGAGTCTCATCTTAGCGCAGCAGGGGTTCGAAGCGAAAGAAATCGATTCATCAAAAGATGGTCGTTGAACTCAACATGATCATTCAAGGATCCAGAATGTCACAAAGTACCCAGGCTGCCACGACATTTGCAAGTTGTCACTACCTGGCGCAGCACTGCCACTGCTATTCGCTCATGCAACACCACACCTCTCAAGTGCTGCGCTTGATTGCGCTTGCCATGAAACATGGACATTGGAGGTCTCCAGAGTGCTGCATCTGCCACTGAAAATCTTTGAAAACTACATATTGCGCCTGTGACACAAGACGACTTAAGACACTTGGTCACACACGTGAAAATGTCACGAAGTGCCACACCTGCCACGCAAGACTACATTACACGCATGTTCAAACCTCCAAAAGTGACAAGCTTTGCAGGAATCGCCAACGGTCCGGCCATATGGTCCTCACTGCGAACTGCGAACGGCTGCGGACAGTTGGGAACGGTTGCCAACGGCAAAGCCGCCTCGAGCAAAAACACGTCCACACCCAGACCCCCAAAGTTAAAATAAGAACCCTTGCTACGCATTCGGGAAAAGCCCAAGCCCAAAAAGCCGGAACAAACACAGAAACCTGATAAAACCTGTTCAATGAAGTTCTAGGCCATGGGCAAATCAGACAGAGCATCTCACAAAGGAAGCAGTTTCACAGAATTACAGAATGTACGATCTGAATCAATCTGGCAGAATCTGGCGAACTTCTGCTCGGCGCAAGCAGGCATTCGCAGATGCATGATGCGCAAAAGCTTCTGTTCCCCCAGCTGCTTCGTTCGAGGCACGTGATTCACAATCATAAGCAAAGCAAGCATCTTGAAAATGCTGACGATGATGCTGATGTACCTCAGCAAACACTCACAAATAGGGGATAATTACAACATATTATAATTATTCATAATTGTATATTAATTGTGGATAATCAGAACATGTGCTTGGTGTTCATGGTGTTCCACCCTTTTCAATCCTTTTCATATATAGCTGGCTCTGGCTCTCTTCTAAATTCTGCTAGGTGGCTCTGAGTCCACCAAATCACTTACACTTTCCATGGTCTTCCGCAGGCGTAGAATTCGGATCAATCTCACCTGGCTAGAGGCAACTAGAAAGCCATACAGGCCATACATTTACAAATTGATACAAATTGGTTCTTGTCCCCTAAGATGCAGTCCCAGTGCGCAGAAGTCTTGAACACCAGGGCATCTGTTAGGCATTTTGGAAGTCTCTCAGGATCATCTCTTGACATGGGCTCCTGTGATTCTTTCATGTCGTAGATTCGTTGATGCTGTTGATGTCTGCTACAGAGATGGAGACGCGGCTAACGATGAATGAGGATGAATGAGGATGAATGAGGATGAATGAGGCTAGGATTCTAGGGTGCTGGCCATTCGAAAGAGACGAAGGCTGCGCAATAGCTTCACAGAGCTCTCGGCAGAATTTCCACTTTCAGAGAGCGAAAAGATCCAGTCAGATCCGACAACGATGATGTCAATCAAAAACCACGTCTTCAAGTAGTGCAAAACCACTTTGTGCGGGACCATCACGAAAATGCCCTTGTCAATGTACCCAACCATACAAGACACTAGCATGTTCAGCGTCCAATAAATGAGGATAAACCATTGCATGAAAATTGTCAAGCCGGTTTCAGGCGGACTGAATACTTGCATAGAAATAGCAAAGAGATCATAGACTATCAGCGCGGCTCCAATCACATCCCAAGTGAGCTTCCCTGGACTGCTGGGAAATATCATGAAATGACGAAGGAAGCCTGTATACTCCTGGATGACCATCAAGTCGTCTGCAAAATCTCCACTTGGCAACTTCGCATCAGCTCCGCTGATTCGAATAATTGTTTCAGCATCGCGCGTCCATGTGGGAAGAGGATGGAAGTCATGATGCTGGATGTAGGACGACCCTCTCAAGTCCATGCTTGAATCCAAGTACTCACTTCTTTGCAGAACAAACCGCTTCCTTTCTGGCCCACTGAAGTATACAAACCTGGCAGGGGCCGACATTGCACTGTGAATCCTTGAAAAATCATATCGCCTTGGAGTTGGTTTCTCCGATGCCGCGGTCTCAGAAGCTGTTTTTGCTGCTTGGGAGTGGCAAGGCTCTTCACTATCATCCCCTGTCAAGGATGTAAAATTCCCAAAGAACTTGGGACGCGATTGCTGCCTGATAGGAGACACGGCTGCATCTCTATCTTTGTTGTGTGCAAGCTGCACTTCTGAGAGAGACCCGCATCTGCCTTGCAGATTCTTGGATGCAAGTGAGTCCAGCATTTGAGAGAACATCGTCATATCCTCCTCCAGTCTCGCCTAGCAGGGACATGACATGCATGACGCCATTCTAGGCACGCGTTGGCTCAGTCCTTGTTTTGGATCCGGCACAAGTTGTTTCATTACAGGTCTTCCAGGAGACAGAGTTGGGGAATTTCGTGGGAAACCTTGACCTGATGGGGAGGAAATTTACGCGGCCCAAAACGTATCATCCTTATTGCTCTTTCCCATCCGTATTGTGTGCCCCAGCATGCAGAGACCAGTCATTTGTGCATTAGCCGCTTTCCAAGTCGATGTCCAGTTTCCCTTTTATGTTGATATAATATATATAATTATATATATATGTATCCGATGTAAATATGCATATGATGAAATACTGAAATATACTGAAATAATCTATTTGGGCTACTAATTACAATTACGATGTTGGATGGCGCTGGTCTGATTGATCTTGTCTCTTGTTGATTCTCACTGCCCTGGACCTGGAGTTTCTCATGCCACTGAGCCCTCCAGTCTTGGAATGTCGCAGTTGACCCCACCATTGGCTCAGTCTCAGCTTGCTCCTGCCCAGACTGGCAGGCACAGCTGAGCTTGGGAATTGTTGGGCCTGCCATGGACGCAACGCTTGATCTCTTTAGGGAGCCAAAACAGGAAGATCAGGAAGCAAAATGAAGCAAAATGAAGCAAATTAATTATAGCAAAATCAAAAACCTGTGAATGGTGGAAGCAAATGGAAGCAAGACATCCAAGGACCCCAAGGACTCTCAGTATATGCCACAGATTTGATAGAGATTTCATACTTGATCCCGATGGACATTCAGGCCAGTCCACATGATTTGGGAGGTGGGACATCACGTCAAATGGAAGAGATTCTTTGGCGCGCAAGGCTCATGGCTGCAAAACTTCCACCCGGACGCGCATCGTACAAGAGTGAAACACATCGCAAGGCATGGGAGTAAGATTGGTCAGTAGATCCCGACTTTCGTCAGAGACTTAGCCCTCACTGGCCCCTGGCAGTGGGACAAAAGGATGCAGAACACGCAATCAATGAAAAGTATTCTAGCCACGGTCAATCGCCATGCCAAAACATGAAGCATGGTCGAGCCTCTTTCATCATCAAGGGGGTTCCATCAAAGGATGCCTGTCAAAAGGCGACTGAAATTCCAAGAGTGAAAGTCACAGGGGGAACGAGCCATGGAAAGCTGATGAATATCCTGTGGCAATTCCCAGCCTCTCCTTTCTCATTCATGTTTAGGGATGGCTGCACTTGCCCCCAAACCTCAGAGCAGTGTCTGCACATCTTGTAGGAACTTCATCTAATTATCTAATTAGTCACATTCTCCAGTTATTCATCTCCTAGTCATCTCCAGTCTCCCACTGATTTGTACACTCATTTACCCTCCTTGACCCATCACAGAAACTGTACGTAGGTTTGGCTGCATCTTTGATGTGTGCTTTTTTTGCAGCCACCGAATGAGTACAATGGGTGCGTGCCTTTGAAATGTACTTGACGCTCACGCCGTCGCTTGCACTGCCCACTTCCAACTCACCCACAAGCGGTCGGGTGCCCTGCAAACACTTGGCGCTTGGAGCAACAATTGGCATGCTACGAACAATGCTACTCACTGCTGATTACTCAGTCTACCTCAACGGGATATTGCAATTGCCTCTGCACAGCCGGCTGGTGGATCTAGCAGTTCGCAGATTTCATCCTCGCACAAGCTCTCATTGACTCATTGAATGTTGAGTTCAGACTCCGACACAGGTTGCTGAAGTTACTGTACATATGTACAGTTATGGGTCTTTATTGTTTCCGTACATCTGGGGACAACAGCCCTGCATTGACAAGAACCGTGTCCTTCTCACCTTTATTTTTCGTGGCAGCCAGGACCATTGCCTGAACTTTGCAAAAAGCAGCACTGAAGAATACAACTCTGCCCTCTCAGCAATAAAAATGACACACAAACACACACAGAAGTGCCAGGCACGCATAATACTGCCACATGCTGCTCATGCCTGACTTTCCAGACCTCTCATCTTGCCAGGTTTGATGTTGCAGTACACGACAACCTTCCACAACGAAGGGTGCTTTTGGCATCAGAGACGACAACTCGCTTTCAACCGCGTTCCAAGTGTTTGTGAGCAGGCAGGCAGGCAGGCAGGCAGGTCTGTTGCATAAAGCGGAATGTTTTGCAGCAATGCACATCGGAGGAGCTGCTCTCCCTACAATGCGTTCCTTTACAGGTCTTGCAAGGGTCATTGATGGTTTTATCATTATCTGCTATCTAGTTGTCTTCAAGAAAGCAGCGACACGCGTACAGAATGGATTCTGTGTCAAAGGATGTCTTTTGTACCTCAGTATCTCCACAAATATCTCCGAATATCTTGGATCGTATCCAGTATGGTGTCACAATGTGACACTGCTTGCATGTGTAAACTTGTTTGCGGTGCAGTAGATTCTCCGCTGTATTCGTTCGGCAGCTTATAATAATATGTGTTCATTCCCATAACCCGGCGGTCTCATAGAGAGAATTGTTGTTGGGTCTAAATCAGTGCTCTTCGTCTTCAACTCTCCTCGTTCGGCAATGTTCTACCGTGTTCTACGTTGTTCCACGTGCTATGCTATGCAGCGATATGCTGCGTACCTAATTCTTTCCGTCTTCGCACCTGTCTGTTTTGGAGCTCGTCAGCTGTGTAGTGCCCCACCAGCGATGAGACAACCTTTACAAGTCCAGACCAACTGGAAGTGGCAAGAAGTGACAGCAAGCGCAATGGCAATATCATCAATATCCTTATTTTTTGGACTGGTTTGGCCGCTCCTGGCCTGTCGGGGCTGATCCTCTCCGATGTTGATCTGAGCATAAGGAGGAATTCATTCAATTTTGATTCTGCTGAGATCTCATGAAATATGATATGAAATATGATATTATGGAGGCAGAAGGAATGCAAGGAAATTGCTGGTACGCCTTCAACAAATATAGAGAATCTGCATCAGGAACTTTGCTGCACTCAAGGATGCGCCCACAACGCAGATCGATCTTTGCAAGGGCAGCCTGGCAGGGTCGCAGCAACAGAATTGAACCTTTCCAACTCCAAATGACATTCATATGGATGTATTCATATGATGTTAATTGATTTTATGTTTCATGATATTTTAACATATTTTACATGTACAAACTCCATTTGGCAGGCACTCCTCCTTTCCATCTGCAGGGGCGGATGGAGCAGCGGGAGCAGCGGGAGCCTGCAATGCTTAGGAGGGAAATGGAGGGAAACATCCCACTCATTTCAGCTTGGCCTGACGTGAGTGGGACTGGTACAGTATCGGTTACTTAACATCTTTGGTTTGGCACCCGGCAGAGTTCAGGGAAATCATTGGGATCGTGTGCTGTCTTTCTCGTTCTATTCCTTCTGGCCATTCTAGTAAAGCGCTGGATTACCTGGAAATACGTGGCATGGGAGACAAGACTCCTACTTCTGAAGGTTTGAAAATTATACCTATAATACTTATAGTCATGTGATATATAGATATGGAAATTACTATATATGTATAATATTATAATATACAGTGTATATATATAATACTATAATATATATATATATACAGTACACTATTAATGTATCTAATTATTCTCGTTTGGAGTCGCACCACTATGCAGTCAAAGTTTGGTCAAACAAACGCCAAATGAGACTGAGATGTCCTTACTTTGAGCCCAAGTGCCGGCTGCCGGCCTTTGCAGGCTTTGCTTTTGCGGCTGTTTCAACCTTCTCAGTCTGATTGGCCTTCACCTCCCCGCAAAGGCCGGAAACCATGCATGGACATGCATAGACTGCGCTGCAGCTATGCACTATGTATGATTCTCATTGATTATCTACGTTAATCTGTGATGTGCATTGCAGCAGAGGTGCACATTGATGCACTATCCCGTTCTTGCCCAAGTTGGTTTCTTACAGTGGCTGGTGTGCTTCGTATGCTTCGTTTGAACTGCCTTATTAGGAGCTGGTGCAGAAGGAGCTGAAGCACCTCCCATCGCCTGGACAGCAGTCGCAATGTCGCAGCAAATGCACCAAAAATACAGTATATTTGCACTGCATGGATATCTTTGGATACCTTGAAGATGATTGAAGGATCAAAAAGCATCGATTCAATTCAATTTTGCTTCACTTCGCTTTGCTTCTTCACTTTGCTCTATTTGGAGTCTTGGCTCTTCATAGCTCTTGAAAAGTCTTGTCACCAGCCTTCTGCCAGGAATAAGGTGTGTGGCCAGGTGGACACTGCAAATCTTTTGCAGCCCAAATGGTTGAAAAGCCCTGCAAGCAACGTTGCAACACAATGCAACACAATGCAACATACAGTAAATTCCTAGACCAGAAATGACCAGAATACCAGGAGAATTTGTCTGGGTAGCACGAACTAGTGGAAGTTGGTGGAGTGCTCACCACAACACAAAGCGAACACAAGCCAACCATAGCCAACCCATGCCAACCCTTGCCAACCTATCCAAACAAGGACAGTATCGGCAGTATCGGCCTCTTTCGTTCCACTCTGCGCGTTGTACCAGGAGTAGTCTGTATGTCCGGGTGGAACTGTCCCACCTGCGCAGGGTGTGGCTCCTTTCACATCGCTTCGGTGTCAAGCTGTCAGCAAGTTTCGCCCAGCCTAGGGGAGCCCAGGTCCCACCAAAACCTCTCGAGGGCACTCAAACTCAAGACTCTAGACATCTCTAGACTCTGGATTCATTCAGAGATATCATATTGATTCACATCCGTTTTGTAAATGTCTTGATTCATGATTAGAAATGGTCTGGTTTCGTAAGTCTTTTCGTGCAGTGGCTATGTCGAGTTGACACTTCTCATCCCAGCACCTCTTCCAAAATGACGGGCCCCCTGATGGGCACAACAAAACTGATGGCCCTGCTGGGCGCCTGAGGGTCGATTTTCTGTTCCCTTCGCAGTCTTCTGCGCAGGTGCCTCAACGCTCTGCATGAAGCGGTTCGATTTCACACTCAATCTGCCCTCTCAATCAATCGGATTCAATCGGCCCATTACAATCCCCATAGGAGTTTGACATGGATTTTTCCAATAGTGTCCAAATGCTTCTTATTGTTTACAATGAAATGGAAATGCTTCGTTTGATGGGCAGGTCTGTCTAGTCGATAATTATACTGTGAGTCTTCAATCCCAAGCATATCTTTGAAGTTCAGCTGCAGTTCAGCTTGTCCTTGCAAATCTTGCTCTCAAAATCTCGGGCAATGTCAAGATATGTCAAGCATTTCATTCCAAACAAGGACTGTTTCTGGAACAATTTCAATGTGCGCCGCCTTGCTGGATGAGGATTTGGATGGATCAGCTGCTCCCAAAGTCGTACCAGGTCTTAGGCTGTATGCCTCAGATCAAAAATGCTTCGTGCTTGGCAGATGTTTATAGCAATAGCTAAAGTTACGCTATGCCACTTCAATGCATGCAGTCGTTTACACTATTCTACACTCACAATGCCAAATCATGGGCGTCTCCCAATTCATTCAAAATGCTACAAGTAGAATGGTTTCGTCAAAAGTCGAGCGCCTTTTCAATGCTCAAAATGCTCAAAGTAGAATGATGCGGAAATATGAGGAAATGATGCGGAACCCTGTGCGGCAAGTTGTTGGCAGATCGTTGAGCGCCCGGCGAGAAGATGCCAGCGGTACTCCTGCGTCTCTGCGGATGCATGGGCTTTTCCAAATGTGCCTGGGCAAGTCGCAGGTCGCAGCAGGTCGCAGATCGTGCTGTCAAAACTTTCAAACTGCGGCTCCGTTTCTCTGACAAAACTGACATGGCACATCTCTGACAAAACTGCTTCTGTGCCTGCATCCACACCGGGAGAAGCACTTGGCGCATCAGCCTTCCACAACACATTGGAGTAGGCAAGATGTGCAACAAATGAACAACTAAAGACTAAAGACTAAAGAACTAGATCGCGGGGATCACACAGCCTGTACAGAGCTGTCAGGTCCAAAGGCCGAGGCTAGAGTAGCAGTGTAACACTGAAGTGTTTGAAGCCATTGTAGGAGTGATGAGGGGCACGTGCAATGACAAAGTGATGATGAGATATGAGACATCATGAGACAACATGAGACGTGAGCCCCTTTCAACAGATTTCAACAGATTCAGCCTTGCGCTTTTTGCCCGACTCCTTTGGGTCTTTCTCCTGTCAGGTGTGGTGCTCCCAGGCAGTCCCAGCGGTGCGCCGCACTGAGAAAACAGAGACATTGAGAAAGACTTGGAGAACTTGAGAAAAGATTATAAAGATTTGAGAAAGATCTGAGAAAGAGAAAGTGTGGACCTTTGAGATCCGTTGAGCTAGTTCTCAGGTCTCAACGAGTCTCAACGAGTCTCAACGAGTCGCATCGAGGCTCAACGGTTTCCCAAAGTGCTTGAGCCGTTGTCAATCGAATCATAGCACAGCACAGCACATCACAGCTGTATTTGTCGCTTCTGGTCCTTTGCTGCGACAGGTGCCAAGTACCTGTTCATGCAGCACACCAGACATAGCTTTCTGCAAGAATGCGCAAAATCCGAGCGTTGTAGGTTCCAACACATTGACACATTGCAATCTTGAGAAAAGAATTGACAAGACGTGATAAAACATGATAAGACCAGAGATAGTGAGGGATGGAGCACGATGGAAGCACGACCCTTGACTTGGCTTCTTCTGCCATGGATTGCAAGGCCTGAGGTGCCTTCTCTGCCTACAGATTCAGGTCATGCGTTGCACTCACAAATTGTACAGTGAAGTCTCTAGTCTCATCATGTCACATCAATGTTTTGTGGGAAGATATTAGTATGTGTATATATATATTATCATTATATATTGTTATAATTTATTATATGTTTATTGAATCTATTTATTTACTTATACGTTATACGATTCGTTCCCTTTAGCCTGGTCGCATATATGACTACCTGTATCAGCCATTGTCGAGTTTTAAGTTTTGTACCATGGCCAGTGCTATACGGTACGCTTCGATGAATTCCATCGCCTATTCGTAATGTGCATTCACATTCTTCTACATGCCACGGAACGGTATTGACCTACGAAATGCTTGCAGCTCCTCAGCCCAAGATGATGGTTTGTTAGAATCCGTTGCACATCTTTCACGCTGAACAATGAAAGCCAAAAACAGCTGAGTCCAACGCTGTGTATTTGACATCCTCAAACTATATACTAGCCACAGTTCATGTCTTGCACGGTGGACATGCATGCTAGAATACAGTTTGGGCAAACATGGAGCATCGGTGACGTTGCCCATCAGGTCACTTGTTGGAGGGTACGGTCATGTCAGATCCATGAATGCTATGGATGGGAGCCCAACGCCATCGAGGCACAAGATCAGTATGGCCCATGTGGCACCTTAGCTGCGCTGTCAGCAACTTCCAATGGAAGAGCATGACCCAGAGCTCGGCGCAGTGCCACCTGTGCAGAGGGCACAGGTGGAATGCACAGAAATGCCATCAACCACGGGGCTCACACTCACTAAACTGATGGCGCCCCTCCCTAGACTAGGAGCAAGTTCAGTCTAAGAGGGCAAGGTCTACAGTACAGGTTGAATCGCCCCATCATTGATGCTCTCAAACCAAAGAGATCTTTTCAGAAGGGAAGGTACCAAAATACCGGCAGCAAAAAGTTATATAAAAGGTTAACCGGTTAACCTTAAAGAAAAAGAAGGGACCAAAATCACATGCAAGGGCCTGCTTTGCCGCTCCCGCATCAAACGGATTATGGAGCCCATTCTTCACTTCCTGAAACCGGATCATCAAACAATGTGAATCACAAACATCTGTTAACCTGATCGACATGAACTGCGGGAAAGCAGTCCTGGGCTTGGTTTGCAGCCATTGAGGCTTCCCAAGCCTGATACCTGCATTCAATTGTTTGAAGCATCTTGAGGCCGTTTCATATGTGCATTGCAATGCATTGCAATGCATCATTGCCATTCATTGCACCACTCATCCTCTCATGCTCTGAAGCTCTGGACGCGTCCAAGTGCTCCAGGATGTGCGCTTTCAGCGCCTTAATTCGGCAGCTTTTGAACAAATATCGCGAATGTAGCCGGACAGCGTGGAATCTGTTCTAATACGTTCTGATCGTGTTATTTGGTGTTATTTGTTCCCGTTGTGAGCACTGTGCAGAAAATTTGAAGGACAAACCGCCAACAGTTCCACTGAGTGAGGCAGTGGCGCATTCGATCAATGCATCAGAAGCATTGCAGGATACAACTGGGCGCAGGCGGGATGGACCGGGATGGATATGTGAGAATTGTTTGAAGATGTTTGAAGGTGTCGGATTTGACCAGATTTTTTCCCGTTGGCACATCGAGGTCAAAACATGTTGCTTGTGGTGATCTCAATTGAGGGTCTGCTTGTTGACCATTCAGCAGTGTTGTAATTGTAAGTCCATCCGAACTGGTAATGATCACAGACATCTTGAGCTATGAGGGACATCTCTTGGAGCACTGGTTTTAACCTGTTTTCGTGTCATCTGAGGCCCCAACGTCCTATCCGTGCATTGACCTCGACAGCGAAGGAGGGCATGCTTCGAACCAACTCAAGCGGGAAAAGCTGGTTCTTGTTGGAGTTGTCCCGATTCCAACTAGTCAGAACCATTGTGCTCTTAAGGAATGTAATACAATGAATCGGAAAAGTACAAATGAAAAGCTGGTGAGATTCTGCTGTCAGGATTCTTAGGGTTTTGTTTCAAAAGTGTCATGCATACTTTGCCACAGGCTGCCCTCAATCTGACTTCCAGTCTTTATGCTTTCAAGGGACAACTTCAGCTGGCAAGCATGGCATCTCCTGCAGCTTCACAGAACCAAGAACTTTGGCAAGGGATCCTTCATGGTATGAGATACATATCATACAAGTATACAATTTTACAGTATAATCCGCCCACACCGCTTTGGCGGTGAAGGCGTGCTTATTGGGGGGCAAAACAGCAACACTAAATGCTCAATGACATTTGTTAATATAGCAGTCGCTATATCAGCTTTAGCTGGGGGGGGGGGCCCAAAAACGGTTTCGCACCGAGACCAGAATACGGTGGTGTTTTCGACATTTTTCGAGGATTTTTGGGTGTCTGAGCGCAAGAGGGTATTGAAATGGAATTTTGGGTCATTTTGGTAGCTTTCCGGCAATGGAAAAACGGCCAAAAATGAAAAAAACATTGTACATAGCAAGATTTTGCAGGGTTTTTGGATGCCAGAGCATTGAAAACACTGCAAAAACAAGTGTTTTGGACTGACGTTATAGCAAAAAACGTGTAAATTACCGTATGCTTGACTGGAAACATTACAAAAACACTGTCAAAAGCAATGTTTTGGAAGGATTTACTGCCTTTATGGCAAAAAACGTGTAAATTACCGTCTGTTTGACTGGAAACATTGGAAAAACACTGTCAAAAACAATGTTTTGGAAGGATTTCTTATATATATGTTGGAGTTGGCTACCGGCATTGGAACATGGAAAAATTGAAGAAAACACTGTAAATAGCGGTATTTTCAACGGTTGGGGAGATAAGGGAATTGGAAGCATTGTCGAACATGATGTTTTCGACCGGTTTTATGGCGACAAAAGTGTAAAGTACCGTGCTTTGAAGGAAACCATTGCAAAAACATGGAAACACATTCAAAGAACACGGGATTTGGGGGACTATCTAGGCGTCGTTGTCTAGCTATTTGAAATTCCGCAGCTTGGAGAGCCTCCAAGGGAGGGAAAAGTGAAAATTCCATAGCTTGGGAAGCTGTCACGGCGGGGAAAAGTGAAAATTCCCTAGCTTGGGAAGCCCCCACGGGGGGGAAAAGTGAAAATTCCCTAGCTTGGGGAGCCCCCACGGGGGGGAAAAGTGAAAATTCCCTAGCTTGGGGAGCCCCCACGGGGGGGAAAAGTGAAAATTCCCTAGCTTGGGGAGCCCCCACGGGGGGGAAAAGTGAAAATTCCCTAGCTTGGGGAGCCCCCACGGGGGGGAAAAGTGAAAATTCCCTAGCTTGGGGAGCCCCCACGGGGGGGGAAAGTTAAAATTCTTAGCTTGGGGAGCCCCCACGGGGGAAAACCACCCTTAGCCCCTCTCACGGACCTAAATAAACCTGCGGTGTGGGCGGCCACCCCACGCGAAGCGGGGTGAATTATATATACGTACATAGTGTGTTTATAAAATATATGATACAATGAATTATAATGAAATATTATATATTATATATATCAATGATTAATCCTCCTTGGAATTACGTGGCTACCATTGATTGGCTCCTCAGTTTTTAGACGAAGAATGGGAACCCACGTACGCGGGCATTCGGATGACAACTTCTGCATGTTGGCTGTTCAAATCCCAAGGCTACGTCAAAGACGTAGAGCTGGAGATATGTACATATGACATCCACTTGGATAAAACGTGCACCCACGTATAACTACGAACATGGCACATCTAAAGAAACATAGGCCAGCATGCATGGGGGTCTGACACAATCCCAAAAATCACTACTCAGGCAACCAACTACAAAAGATACATGTTTAAGAGAAACACAGACATACATAGACCACATATTCTCTAATGAACGGGAAGGTCCAGATTAGCCTTGGGCAGGTCACACTCCCAAAAATTACCCTTGAAACAAACGCGTTGTCATTGCTGCGGGTTCTTTGAATCACCTGTGACACGTGCGATGGCCAGCGTGAAACGGCAATTGTTTGTAAATTCAAAAAATGAAAAAGCATCTAGAATAAACAGTAATTTGGCCTTCCAAATGCCCCTCTAAAAAATCATGTAATCATGACCCATGAGAAAAAATCATGATGCTCCCCCACAAAAAGCGGTGAGTCCGGGTTCACCATGGGCTTTCAAAACATCACTATTTCACCACAAAGAAAAAGACACGTTTTTTTGGGACAAGCCCCATTGTCGCCTTTTTCGGATGAAATTGCAAGGGGGATTGTAAATATAGAGTAAATACAGTATATCGTTCTGCTATTTCTGCATAGATTCTGCATAAGCGCGGAAGCTGTTCCTTTGCAAAGTGGCTGCAGCCCATGTAGTGCCACAGAACCCAATCTGTTCGAAGAGCCTGCTTTGCTTCACATTGGTTTGATCAGAGTTGCTCGAGTCTTTGATTTTAACTCCACGAGGAGAACAAACATGAAGCATCTAGGTGGAGCACATGGATGCTCAATGATGTACAATGATGTACAATGATGTACAATGATGTACAGCTACGGCAAGCACACGGAATGAATTCTGTTTTCATCTTTTTTCATCTTTTTTCATCTTTTTTCACTGTTCCCTCTCTCTCTTGCCTGAGATGGCTCTTGGCCATTCAACGCACCAAGGACTTGATCAAAGCTCAGCGGGCCTCAAAGCATCTGCATTGTTTGCCGCATGACAGCGCGATCAGCACGTCAAAAAGTTGAAAAATCTTCTGGTCGAAACCCAAACCATGAGAACCTTCTACTTGGTTGGTCAGCGTCTCAAGAGTTTTCAGCTTCATCATTTGCAATTTGTTTCGGTTCATGTCATTCTAATCTGAGTCTCGGTTTGCTTCAAATCCACTTATTATACTTTTTAACCGTTTGCCTTTTTTCAGGTGTCTGCTCTGCACACCCACAGTCTGTAACTTCCTGAGAGGTTGGCTGGATTTCGGAAGCTTTGCAGCCACTTTCGACGCTTGCTTCTTCAAGGCATCCAGCTGTTTGTTCAGCACCTGCATAGAGCAGCCAAGGTCACAGAGCCTAGCTATGCCCAGCTTCGAATCTCACTGCTTGGAATGTCATAGATTATCCAACGCTCGAACCAACTACCAAACCTGCCCGAAGATCTCAACCAGTTGTTTGCTGGACCTTCCAAAGCTGTGAATCGAAAGATTGCACCCAATGCTGGCAATGAGCTCAACTCTTCACTCTTTGAGTATCTTTGAGTATCTTTGAGCTATTAGATGTTATTTGATTTTCTGCTGATTTTCTGCCCTACATTCACGCTCTGCAAGACGCGCAGCCGAACTTCTTGCTGACTGAGGTACGCTGCAGAAATCTCTTTCAGACTGCTGCCTAGGCACAAATTCATCGATGTATTCCAGACTTGGAACTCACATTTTTTCATATTTAGGCAAATAAGAATCAAAACTTAGGAGCTGGCTGTCTAGCTCCTTCCTGGCATCACGGCGAATCAACTAAGCTATCATTCCTATTGTGGCTCATCTGGAATCAGAAGATTTTGCTACCTGCAGTATCTGCAGTCAACTTGCCCCTTGCTGGCGAGTAACGCAAATTCACTTCGTAGGTTTGAATCCACCAGCAAACCCAAGCAGTCATCACTACTGGCCTCGCAGGGCCAACACTCTGCAAGAGGTTGCCGTTTGGAAGGGGCAGAAAGCACTGGTTTCTTAAGTCTTTTTGCTCAGAAGATCCAGATCTGGTGGTTGTGGGCAGAAACCTCTCAATGCAAAATGAGGTATCACTGGTGCCTGCTTTAAGGCACTGGATAGGCTTGCAGTCGGGGATGGAACCTGAGTCAGAAGAAACTGCCTAAGCCACAGAGTCACAATGGCATCCAGGAATTCAAGGAATCGATACGCTCACAGCACTAAGAAATCCACCTTGCCCTGAAGCAGCTGGACTGTCGTTGACAAAACCTCCTTCACAGTGGGAATATGTGGGAATCCTAGTAATTCTCCCCAAGTGAGCTGTGGAGATCAATATTGTTTCACCAGAATGTAGGCACTTTGGTTCACGTTTACAGTACAAGTGCTCATTGAGTTCTACATGCCTTCGCCACAGGGGACAACCATAGGAGCCTGGGCCCGCAGCACAAATATCAATGGCATTCAATGGTAGAAGTACGTAGATATCTGATGATATCTGATGTCTGGTTCTGGTTTCAGCCGATTTGAACATCTACAAAAGGTGTCACCCAATTTCACCCCACATACTTACAGTAGCTACACTACACATCTGTATCGAACCCATAATTGGGAGGATATCCAGGATGGTATGCTGGTGTCTGAAGGTATCTGATATGCCTTGTTACAAAAGCCACTACGCCACAGTACGCCATTGAGAAGCCGACAGGGACGACATCAGCAACGCAAGCTCTAAGCTAAACACTGCCTGACTCAAGAAACTGTCTTGAGCAGCGATACATCGATCACAGGAGAGAGCAGTGAGTCGAAGCAACGACAACCTTTAAATATCTTTACCATTCTTTACCATTCTTTACCATGGGCTGGCTCTTGTCGAAGTGCCATGTCGCCGCATCGCAAATTCTTTTCAGGAAGATCCTATAGTCCTTGGCTTTGCTACTTTTCTTGCAATGGCCGAGTTGCACTCACTGATGCTACCCATAGCACTGGTTCAAGGCGCGCTTCTGCCCTTTTTAATCTGAAGCGCTCTTGGGAGAAAACTTCCCTCAAGCATCTGCAGCATTTAATGAAAAAGCCCGGGCTCCGTGGGCCTCCCAAGTGATTGCATACTTTGCAGGCAAACAAATTTTGAGAAATCCTGGGTTGGAGTACCTGCTTACCTTCATATTGCCATGGTTATTCATAGATACTGTGTATGAGATTGTATGAGATTGTATGAGGTTGAATGAGGTTGAATGAGATTGATGCTCTGCGAGAATGCTCCGTCGTGAAGATCGTAAAGATGTAGACCACACTCCGCAAAGTCCACTCGTCTTTGCGGTACTCATCTCTGTTGTCCTGCTTGTCACTCGGCCGGATCACACGCCTTGAGCATCTGGTCAAGTTCTTGGCGTCTTTGGCTCAAGGGGTGCGACTGATCTGCCTCAGCCGGAAAGCCACAGGATGCCACAGGTGCAAAGAGGTATTGCATGGTACGGCCTAAAAATGCCTAAAATGTAGCGTTGAAACATGTTGAAACATGTTGAAACTCCTATCCTGTTTGGCTCGTCCATGTACTCTCGTGATCGGCCCAAAATGCAATCACTTGCTGTACAGTAGCAGTTCGAGAAGTTGGCAGTTTTGTGGATGAGCATGCATATGTACTGTATCACTAGGGCCACTAGGGACAGGACCAGCACTCTGAAATCAAAGCCCCAAACGGCATAGTCTGGCCTCCGCATTCAGGTTCACTCTGCTTCAAACATTTCAAACTGAGTACAGTACCAGCCCCTTTCAAGGGCCAGGCCCATTCGTTAACCGCCACGGATTGCAAAATGATCCGCGAATCCAAGCATCCTGGCGCAGGATAAGATTTGTAAGGAATCAAACTATGTTGGAAACGCGAGCAGCAAAGTTCCGAAAGGTAATCAATTGCTTGGACAAATTCTAAATCAGAGAAATTGACCGCCTGGCTTGTTAGTAGAGGACTGCTTGCAACGAAGTTTCATATGCATAAAATTGATTAATATTGTACATTCCAATGATATAATATTATAATATTATATAATATGATATACTGTAATATTTGATGATCTTATTTTGTCCATCAACCCCGGTGGAACCAGGGGGAGCCCATCAGGGACGAGGACTGGGGACAGCACCAATAACAAGTGCAGGAACAACAACAATGACAACAACCAACAACAACAATCATCATCAACAACAGCAACAGCAACAGATTCTGTCAGGTCTGCTGGTATCTCTGGTGTCACTCCCGGACAAATTCAATTTGGAGACTGGTTGATGTCTAAGCTAAATTAGGCTTGAATATGATTCCGTGGCTTCTGCTGATGGTCAGCTACAACCCGGATGAGCAGAACAAGTGTCAAAGCCACATGGTTGAAAGTTAGATTGAGTGATATTGAGTGCTTGCAAGGACATGTTGCAGCTTCGATGCATTTCAAACCAAGGCCAGCTTTACCAAAGCAGAAGGAGGCTCACCTGACGGGGATGTTTGAATAATTTTGAATATGGTAGATTTGCACAGGGCCAGTGATGGCCAGTGGGGTCCGGATTCTGAATCCACCAGAGCCTCACACGCTGAAACAGATCAAGGATAGATTAGGAAGACATGGGAAGACCATAGAAAGATATAGAAAGTTCATAAATTTGCTGGTAGCCAGTAGAAAGTTCTTCAAAACAAAGGATGTCATAGCCATAGCATTCTGCCGCAACCTTTTCTGCCTGAAAAGAAAGCTAAATGATACCCTCTGCGAATATTCAGAGTCTTCCCAAGTCCCAGCAAAGAGCAAGAAACCTGCAGTTCAACCTGCTGAAACAGGCAAACTCCTAATGTGGTCCAAGAGACACGTGGTTTCCCCAACAACCGTATCAACAGCTGGTGAGAGATGCGGTCTTCCGTGCGTGTGTGTTTGCACAAAGCCCACTAAAGTCACAGGGTTGTAGTGGTACGTATTTTTGTTTGACAGATTAAGGGACCACCTCAATGATGTAAATATTGTGACACTCCAAGGGCGTGCCCCTGAGTTGCTTGTACTGAGACATCTGACCTACATGTTTGACGAGGTCTTTGCGAAGCAGCACAGCTTCTTCGTCGCCAGCTGCTAGAAGTGAATAGCCTCCCAAACTCATCACCCGGTCTGTTCTTGTTCATGTTAGACGTCACAGAAAAATAAGTGAAGATATGTTGAAAATGTCTGCTGTTGTGCTTCATTCCGAGTCAGCTTAACATGCTTTTCACGTTTTGCACCTGGCGCGCGGGCCAAGAAGGCAGCAAGGGAACATCCAGTCATCCTTAGGAGCCACAGTTCAGCATACGTGATTTTGCCTTCATTTTTTCCTAAAGTATGCGGTGACGGCTGGGATGGATGACAGTCCTCCCTATCAGTCTCTACTTTCTAGAAATCCTCCCACTCCTCCACCTCCTTGGCTTCATGAATTTCAAAATCATGTCCATCAGTCTCAAAATTCAAAGGAAAAAAAAACAACTGCTCTGGACTCAAAAGCTTTCAGATCACACCGACTCATACAGGCCTTCATGTCCCTTGAAATGAGTGTCTCCAAATCCCAAGAAAGGTGTTTTCCACCATGCCACGGACTGTATGGAAGTGAGTACTAAGCGAGCTGCTCTCGGCCGCTTTGTTTTGCAGCCAGCGCTGTCCCTGCGCAGCAATTTCTGCTGATCAAACAGACTCTGCAAAGTAACGCTGTCGGCATGGCCTTCATCCACTGGCGTTTTCCTTAGAAAAAACTCAGAGAGATTCATCGGTTGCCAGAAATTGTATCTGCAAAACCACTCCAAAAAAGAATCTTAGGCGAATCTTAGGAAGCCGCTTCTGCAATTGCTCTTCTGACCAAATAAACCTTGGCATTGACCAAATAACCTTCAAATGCAAAAAAACTCGAAACCAAGATGCTGGATGACGCTGGTAGTTTCGCATTTCTTGTTGTAAACCTGTTCTCCCTGCGCTGCACTGCCTGTGTGGATTTGGGCCTGCGCTGTGCTGAAGGCTTCCACAGTCGCTCTTGCAAAAGCAAAGGTTCAGCTCTGCCCTGCAGGTCCACCTAGGTATCACTCTGACGATGTGCTGTTCCTGTGATGTCTTGGAGTCTTGTGCTATCTTGTGCTACAATGGTGTACTATGTACTGTATGCTACATGAGGCTACATGCAACGTGTTGTACGGTAGCCCTCACTAGCGCCTCTGACACGTCCATTCCCTTCAGACAATTCCGCAACTTTTCAACTTCTGCGTGCTAGAAACGTTCACCCTCCCGCCTGCAGTAGAGATGGCTGGTAATGTTGAACGTATTCCAGCGGAGGAGGTGCCTTGCTTACAAACACAATGCAAAGGAACAGGCGACACGGTGACAAGACAACCTTTTGACAAACATGCGTGCGATGTGGAAAAGTTCCTCAAACACTTTGCCCTAAACTCAGAAAGTCTCAATTATTAGTGCGATCAACGCAAGCACACCAGTGACGAAGTGACGAGCCTGTGGCATGTACTCCACATGAATGACCTTTGGCTGGATGACTCGCAAGGCCTGAAGTTACATGAATATCAGAGGGCTGGATATGGCTGGACTGGACAGAATGATACCAATGATTCAATGATACCGTTTCTCAAGATTCTCAAATCTTCCCAACCTCTTCCATGAAGAGGCAGTCCGCGTGATCAACATCCACCTCCAAAGGTGGGTATCTTCTCAAAATCGGGGAGGTGTTTCGAATCTTTGCGACGTGCCTTAAAGAGATCAGGAAATGCAGAAGATGTCCTTGGTGGCTTGGTGGAAATGTGTCTTCGCTGACATCAAAAACACGTCTTAGTCTGTCCACTGTCCACTGAATTGTCAAGCCCATCCCGCCATGGACAAACGACAAACTAGTGCACAGCAAGGCAAATAGAGAAGACACAGAAAGCGGGTAGACAGATTAGACAGGTAGACAGTCACTTTGGGGGAAAAAAAAGAGGTGGACAATACAAGCAGGAAGCCTGGCTGGCTGACAAGTGCACGATACGTGGAATCCATCCACATTTTGAGTAAGGTGAATAATACAATATACTAAGGTGAATAATACAATATATACAATGGCCTAAGATTGGTTAAGCATCTATTTGTTGACTTTGATGATTTGCGGAAAATTAACCGACTGCTGGCATGTCCCAGCAGCATAGTCCCAAAAGATAAAGCATGATAAAGCATTTTGGGAACCAAGCCACCTTTGAACTCGAACAAGTTCTTTCAATTAATGTGTTGCAAAATGAAACCAAACTGTGTTGTCGTGCTGCATTTGGTCCGATTCACAATGCCACTGCATACAATGTTCACATAGCTTGGTCTGAGGTTCTCCATCGTCGCCAAGAGGTCTTTCAGCAGGTGTGTTACATTGTGCAAGGGCAGAAACTGGAGAACCTGAAACAACCAGGGAGTAAACGATTCAAACGTCAAAAACAATCAAAAACATCTGTGCCTGGGGGGCCTTCGGTGCCTCTGGGAAAGGATGAAAGACTAAGAAGATCTAAGAAGCCTTCTGAATATTCTGAATATCAAACAGGGAATGTGGGTTTGGTCTAGCATCACCCAATTTTGGGAGCACACATATTGTGACAGCTGGATCCTCACACGGAAGAGTTGTCATGCAGTTGGACATGCGCAGCAGCAGGTAGTCAGGTATTGTCCGGTAGTGTGCAAGTCATTGGGGCGAAAAGGAAAAACTCCGTAGGAGTCCGTAGAATACTGACTGGACTGTTGTCCCCAATTCTATCCTTCCCCACACCAACACATACCGACACCACACCTAAAAGTACCATAAAGTACCTAAACTATCCAACAAAAAAGCACACAAAAGAGAGTCCAAGGTTTTTTTTACCTTCGCCGCGTTCTTCGTCCTCGGCGTCCTTCTGTGACCTGCTGCGATCCCCCAGCAAATCCGTTTGAGCATGTGGGAAACATTCCGAAACTGATTCTCAACACGATTCCTTCTGCAACGGAAGAAATTATCAGCGACTTAAAAATACCAAATTCAATTATTTGTGAAGATTCAGTCGACAAAATGGTTCAAGAAGTTTTGTGTCAACATTAACATTGCTTTGGCAAGGATGTATGCAACAAAAGTCGCTGGCAAAGCTTGAGGTCCTGATTCGACATGCAATTGGGCAATTGGACACCACTGGAGAATTTGTGAATTGTCTGTAGCACTGTAGCACAGTAAATTGTAACAAATATCTACCAATTGTATGAACGTGTATCAACGTTCTGCAACCTTATAATATAAATTGAAATTGATTGGCGTTGTACAGTTCTGTAAATAATAGTAAATAGCTGGAGCGGCCAGAAGGTGCGCATTCTGTAGCTCTGATGCGTCAGCAGAGGACTCGCAGCGACGCCTGATGTGGAGGACAAGCGGACAAATTTCTGTACTGTCTGCTGATTCTGCTGAAGTTGAAAATGGGTACCCTCTGGAAATCTGGCAATGGGACATCCCCCTATAAATGGAATTAAATGGAGCTTTTTATCTCGAAATCATTTTTAAATTCTCGAGTTTCCATTGTGACGCTTGATTACCGGAGAGAGCTATTGAACGGCACGTAAGTCAGCAGTGGATAGCAGTGGTAGTTTCTGCTCCGAATCACCTCATTTGAAGAAACAGCTCCAAGTCTTTGATTTCTTGCTGCAGCTCCGCAACCTCTCCTCAGATTCACCAACTGACGTCGCTCCCAACATTTCCAGGGGATGCGACCATGGAAGGTCGTTGGCTGACAGTGGATCACTTTCTTGGCCATGCAAGTCTTGTTTTTGGCCTTGAACGTCTTCTTTGGCCTTTGTACGGCCTTTGCTTTGCTACGTCCATGTTTCGGGTGGGAAAGAAGCTTAAAACATTCTGCTCTGATTCTCTGATGTTTGTTTTTGTTCTTGAAATTCTTTCCTGCCTTTGGGACGGAGGGAAACAAAATGAAAAAAAGTCGGCAACCACTTGCAGGCCTTGAATCATAGTAGTCGAAACATGCCCAACTATCTGAACGGCATCCTTGTTGTTGTTGCTGCTGCTAGTAGAGAGTTGGAGTCTGTCTGTACCGTTGGAATTCAGGATTGTTCCTGTTCGTGGATTTTAAATGCAACACCTCCGAAAGCCAAAGACGTGAAACTTTCTTTAAAAGAATTTGCTCCGAACACTTGTCGTAAACGATCTTTATCATTCTTTATCATGAAGCAATCTGTCTCAGACATTTATCTTGTACAGCATCGTTTCAACGAAGGAAAACATATGTCCATGTCTTTCCCGAACACAGTTCACACTTCTGTTGTACAGCATGTTCTTCATGAAACTATCATGAAAGCCTGTGGCCTGACCTGAACACTTGTTTGTAGACCATCTTGGACCTTCACTATGGAAGAACTGATCCTAAGAGCATGATTCACAACTCTTGATACTCTTGATAGATCACAAGTTTACCCAGTTTTCTATCTTCAGCATGGCCGAGAAACGATCGCGCTGTTGGCGGCCACTGCGTTTCCGCTCGGCCACATCATCCTGTTTGTCCTGCCAGCATGAGATCACAATACTAGTAGCTTTAGGATACGAGTAGCACTTTGAGCACTTCGTGGGTGACATAAGGAGTTTGATTGGACATGATTCAAAAGCAAACTCCGTGCGTACAGTGCGTCGTAAGTATGTGAAAGATTTTGTAAGTATGGCGTAAGTTCTTTTTGTTGCTGAATCTCTGCTACAGCTGCAGCTACAGGAACAGACCCTTCCGAAGGGTCAATGCTTTCATGGACAATGTTTCATGACGTGCGGGGCACCTTTGCCCGACAGGAACAGCTTAGGGCTCAACGGATGATTTGTTCCAACTACCCTGGAATAGATGACAGGTACACCAATGGTTGCTTGCTCACACCACATTTACAGCAACTTCACATGATTGACTTTTGGCTGATTCTTGATTCTGTACAAAATAATTTCGCTGACATCAAGCAAGGCATAAGTTTGTTTGTTTGTAATCCAGTACTTGCTCAATTCTCGTTTGATCCAAAGCGTGACTTACCAATCAGAACGAAGTCTATGCAACATATGCAACCTTGCATGCCTTGCTCAAAAGAGCTTGGGAAATTCTGTCCCATCATGTCCTGTCCCATCCTCTGATTCGGTCCTCGAAAGCACGCTGCTCCTGCGAAAGCCTTTTGTTCAATGCTTCCAGTTGGCTCGTTTGGCGCTGAGCCTTGACAAAATCATAACGATCCCAGACTGCAGCACCACTTGGCGAGTCCACAAGGCTTGGTGCATCCAGATTCTACCATGCCAAGAACTTCACAGTCCTAGAGGAAAGTGAGGAAAGTGAGGAAAGCTTTCCGATGACGCCCGTATGACGCCCTTTGTGATGCATCCTAAGCTTCCGACAAGAGCCTCCTCAGCTGCCATGTCCGCGACCTTCTGCGCAATGTTTGCAATGTCTTTCTGCACATCATCGAGCCGCCTGGGCCGGTGCTCAAAAGATATCAAAATATGATATGTTGTGACACATTGTGAGGACTCTGCAGACAACAATCATTTGAGGAGCTTCCATCGACAGAATTGAGAGTAGTAGTTGCATTTGAATCAGCCCTGGCCTCTGGACACTGTCAGCCTTGTGTTTGGCAGTCTTGAGATCTCCCTGGTGATGCAAGGACCAGAGATTCACATCTCATGAGAATGGATGACAATAGACTATTCATGCCTTGTCTCTCCATGTCTATATTAATGCTGCACCGGGAATGTCAATGTCCTTGGAACAAGACTATTCTGATTCCTCAGGCCTCCAAGTCTTGAAGCTCCAAAGCGCACTGTTTCTCGATGTCCTGCCTGGACTGAGCAAAGACTTGAAAGGACTTCACTGAACGCAAGAGGAAATTGAAATATTTGAAATATATCTTGAAATGACTTGAAAATATCTTGAAATCTTGCATTTTCGTCAGTGGTCCAGATAATCCCACAGAGGATATCACACAGATGACACAGCAAGGATGCAGGACAATACGTGCCACTACATGCCGGTACGTGCCGCCGGTACAGGTAAGTTGACGTAAGTTGACTGGCTTCGTGTTTTTGACGTTTCGAATTTCGAACGCTCGGTTCCTTGCCTGAGTTCATCGAAGTGCTGCCTTTGGGCCTGGTGACTTGACTTCTGACTCCCCAAAAAACACAACTCTTTTTTTAGTCGGCAAAGAAAGCCTTGGCGCCTCAATCTGTATCTAAAGTGGCTACACTGTGGCTAAAGTTTTGGGCTAAAGTAAAGTTTTAGTCCAAGCGGCTGTCATCTGTGATGACAAGAGATTATTGAACTCGCTGACGATTGCCTCCTAAAATTTCCAGAGGATTTCTCGTTGCACTGCCTCTGTTGTTGCTACTCCGAGCGCAACTAGAAAAGCTGGCAATTTGACATATTTTGACATGTTGCACATGTGTTCCACATGTTGTCAAGTTGGACAAAAAGTCCTGCTTTTTAGTGCTTGAGGAGGAACTACTTGCGCCCGACCTTGGAAGAGAAACCACTGAGATGCTGTCACAAAGTGCGAAGCCGACATCCCAAAGTGGGCAAGCACAAGTCAGCCGCATGCCGCACTGAATGCCGCCATGGAGCGCTCTTGTAAAGAGTGCGGCGATCTGCAAAGATGTCGCAAGATGCTACAAAAAACACAAAAAAACGCAACTGTATCTGCCCCCTTCTGTGGCTAGTAAGTCCATTACGTGTCAAGGAACACGTCATCCAAAGCAGAAAGCTTGTTGCTCAGCCAGAAGATCACAGCACTTCTCCGGAACAAATGCTGCAACAAGTTTGCCTGATAAGATTTAAGGTATGGAGTCGTATAGAGTACAATGCTTTGAACATGCGAATTGCAAAAAGTGCGAAAGGATGCAATAAGAATGTGATGGAATGCGCAAGAATTCTACATGAGGTTGCATGAGGTTGCATGATCTTGATATTATATCACTGCGATGCCTTATCGCAGTCGTCATCCTCCATGTCCGCCCATCGAAGATCGCCAAAGACTGATCGAGCAGAGATGCTCTCTGCTGGAGCACCCCCTTCCGTCGGTACTGTATGCTCAACCATCTTCCCATCTTGATCGTTAAAGAGTAACCTGTGCACATAGCCGTTCCCCGCGTAGTCCCAGACATGTTGGGTGTTCACATCCAAAGCGTACGCATGGGACGATGCCTCAAAGTGCTGCTGAGCGTGGCCTTCTCCCTGCTGTGCAGTACAGCCAATGGCACCACAAACGAGGCAAATGTGGACGCCTTCCGCTTGTCCACAGACATCACAGGAAGATGTCTGATAGGGATGCTGTTGGAAACGGCAGACTGGGCAGGTGGTGTCACACCATCTCGATAAACAACGAGCATGAAAGGTATGCCCACAAAGAATTGTCAAAGGTACTCCTCCGCCCAGTTCAGTCAGCTGATATTCAGCTGGATTTGATTCCACAGTCTCAAGACAAACAGCACAGAAAGGGCGATCCCCTCCAGACCCTGGTGTTGGAGAAACTACGCTTTGAGTTCCTGCACCAGTGCCCACAAAGAGTTCAGGCAATTCAGGTGGGGGTGGTGAAGGAGAGACTTCGGGTGTGGCAGAAGCTAAAGGCAGCATGAAGTGCAATGGTGGCGTTGATGGGCAAGGAGAATTCTTCATATCAGCGTGCTGTGGCACAGGAGACCATCTCATTGGACATGTATTTGGACTTGCAGCATCTTCCCGAAGTGGGCCAGCTTGGCAGGCCACAACAAAATGTAGACTGCAAGCTCCCGGTTCGATGGCATTGAACAGTTTCCCATGAAAGCGCTTGATCAGCCAGTCAACATCCTGTGGAGAAGCCATGAGAAGTGCAATCAGATACTCTTCACTGTTTCGTCCGTGCAAGACGCGACAGTGTCTGAACCGGCGATGTGTATCTGCACCAAACGCCCCCAGGAAATCGCACAACTCTGAGGCTGACATGTGGCATGGAACTGAGCTTGCTAGAGCCATGCATGATTCAGGGGAATCTGACCGATGTGATCGATGCGCAAGTCCTCGCGAAGTTGAGGCACTCGTCGCATTCGTGTCGGAACTCTCTGAACTTCGGGATCCAGACACTTTGATGTGGCCATGGATGATCTCGACAGAAGGATTTCCGGCCCAATACTCGAAGGTGTGGTCAGCGTGGTCGTCACTGTGGTTCACTGGGTCTGTCATGGCGACGAAGTAAAAAGTAGTCACGTTGAATTGTCATGACTTGTCAGAGCTGGGCAAAGATTGTGGGGAGTCTATGGTCTGATTTGGTGCTGGTCTCTGACAGTTTGACATGATTCTATTTTGCCTTCAGAGGCCAATCATTCGAGAGGGTCCTTTGAGCCACAGCACAGCAGAAGACATCCGGCAAGCTGGCTAGAGAGGGAACTTTCCAATCAAAAGGAGTAATGTGCTCGACTCTTCGCAAGGGAAATTTGGAAGAATATCCAAACGAAAACATTCAATGTCTGAAAGCCTAGGAAGCCTAGGAAGCCTAGGGCTTGGACCAAGGACACATTTGCTCGCTGTCCGAATCTTCGGCGAAGCTCAGCATAGAACCTGAGCTCAAGTCGGCACAAATGGATGAGTTCTGCTTGAGACCAGACAGATCTAGACAGATTGGTCGGTCGACTATGCAAAACAATTAAGACATATTAAGACATATTAAGACACAATATGGAAATCATGCGCACATAGGTAGATCAGACAAGAGGAGGCGAGGCAAGAGTAGGAGAGTGGACCAGTTGAACAGAGAGGCAAAATGGTCACTCGTTTAGGTGAGTAGAAATTGAATTTGGTGAATTCATGCATGGACCCTCAACGCTGCCAAACCAGTTCTTTTCCAATAGATTGATTTCTCCCAACTTTTCTCCTGGAAAATTGCTCCACAAATAGACTTACTAATACTTACTAGCCCAGTACCGCAAGATGTTTTTCTCTTTGTGCCGCTGGGCAGCAGTTTAAGAAGGGCCACAAACAACATTTGGGATTCTGTCCTAAATATGGATCATTTTGAATGTCCCCGAAATACATTAGCGTTTTCGCCTCATCTTCTTGTTTTCTCGTGTGGGCCCAAAATCATGATCAACATCTTAATTAATACATTCATATCCATATCCGTATCTATTCGTATCTATTCATATCTGTCATATGCATATGTACTCATTTTATCTTATATCTGTATGCATTCATATGTAGTATATAGTATTGATATCAATCGAAATCAATCGAACCAGCATTCCCTATACTACTCGTGCAGCTGGCCCATGGAGACCTGTATGTCTACGCGAGATATCTAAGGCAGCACTGTGGGATAAACTGTCTTATCTTTGCCAGAGTGTGTACACGACTGGGCAGCTGATCACGGTAACATATTTACTCACTATTTATCTATATACACTATTCTACAATATTGTTTGTCATCCTTTCCAGTATCACTTTGTTATCGCTCGGGCCGCTACATGTTGCCAGTCTTTGGAAATTAAAGGATCATGTTAGCAATTTAGCAAAGCAAGTATGGCTCACGCAAGCTCACGCTATCACTTTTCTTCGTATCGTTTTCTGTGGTCGTAGTGACGTGGTAGTGCAAAGGGTCGGCTCCAAAGGACATGAGCCAGGTATAGCCAGGTTATTTTCATCGCCCCATGTGAGGCGGCTCGCCAAATTTCATACAGAGAAAGGTGGAAAGCGGAAGTGAAAGGCAAATTGTGAGAGGAAGATAGAGGAAGTGTGGGTGGTCAGAAGGCACATGACGATGGGAGGTGCCTTCAAGCTCCCATCCTGCCCAATCGAATGTTGAAAGACTGGCAGGAGAGCATCGCATCTCTAAGTCTAAGCTTCATCCTTTGTTCGTGATAAGTTCATCTTGCCCTGCTCGGTTTCCATACGCCAAATTGCAAAATCCAGTTGCGTCAAGTAGCGTCATTTGTAATTGCACCAAGTGATGACAAGTCCAGACTACGAATAATTCTCAAATGCCTTGCAGTCATTTCAGGTCAAGGTTGTGCCCATGCTGCAAGGAACTTCCGGTCTCCTTCAACGACTATTGCTGAATATCCTGACAGGCAGAAAATGGAGACGATCGCAGAGACGATAGCAGAGATTTGCAATCGTAGACTGTAAATCAACAGCAGTCAAACATGTCAAAACTGAGCAGAACACCTGCAGTCGTGAGGCAATTGGCAGGATCTGCATTCCAATCCTCCCAAACCAAATGAGACCAAGCAGATTTCAAGCCGTGACAAACAATATGCTCGGCACAAGTAAGACAATCTCTATTTGCTCATGCTTGCTCTGGCCTCTTCAGCACCACACTCTCCATCAGCTGCACCGAAATTTACCACGAAATGTGACATCGGTACCTTCAGCGTCTGCAGACTGCGGCGACTGCAGCGACATTCAAATCATTCAACACAACTAGCTCAACGAGCTGCCCAGGAGCTGTCCCAGCTCAGGAGCTGTCCAGCTGCACAGAGAGAGGGAGAGAGATAGGAGGAGCAAAATGAGATCGTCGTAAGTCTTCTTGACTGTCAGCAATTGCATATATTATGGTAACCGTCCGCTCTTCTGAGTCTTGGATGTTTTCAAAAGTACGGAATTCGTTTGCATTGAGTTTCTAGTCAACTGTCAGCATCATGATTTCCCCTGACTGAGATTTCTTCTATATAAGTATATAAGGTATGGAAGCCAATATTGCACGGTATGGTCGTGTTGAATCCTATTGAACTGTTCTCCTCCTTCAAGGCCGTATTTGACTGGACGTGTGCAGTCAACATGCTGTCAAGTTTCACTGGCCGCTTGAAGAAGCTGCAGCACCATGGATACCTCAGCTGGGCTAAGAAAGAAAGTCGGAACTTTCCAGACTTACTACAGTAACTACAGTGTATAGCTGTCACTAGCTGATCCTTCGGGCATATCCGCTTCGGATAAATCCGCAAAAGTAACAGAGGTGAAGTAAGCTGCCCATGGCAAAATGTCTGCAACATCGCCGCGCAGAATTGGCAATGCTACACTGCCACAAGATGCTACCCTCATTCCAGCGGAGTGGCCAACTGAGACCCAAGCAAACAACATGAAGCATTGATAAGCATTGTGCATGGTAGCTGTGTATTTTTAACACACCTCGAAACCACTCCAAACCACCACCAGACCTGGTTCTGCCTTTTCATAGCCATGGTGCATTTGGTCCAATGCTCTGGGTTGTGCGATCTTCTCCCAGTGAGCAAATCCCATCCGGGCTGAAAATGGGTGGGTACCTGTAAGTTGTCAAACGCCAGCGTGGGAATATGACTTTGCAAAGGGGATTATAATTAAATGCCTTTGATGCCAATATTCAAAGAGCGCCGCTTTCGCAACACATTGCAATCAGCTCAAAAAACAAATGCAATTGTTTGAACGCTTTCCTCAAACTGTTCCATCTCCTAGTCTTGTGGGAGTCATGCAACTGCTCAGGGCACAGAATCTGGTCTCGGATTCCGCTTTTGTGGCGTGAGAACACCTGTCAGAAACTCGCGCAAAATTCACAGAAATTTCCGTGCAATTTGCTGCTGGACCTGGACACATTTTGTTCAACTGTTTGTTGATTGCGACCTTTTCAATCACGAACCCTTTGGATCCTTTTGGCATGTGTTGTTTTGCACAATGAAGTATTTCTGCCTCTAAGCTGCTCCTGCAAATCCGAATAAACGTGAGATGAATGTACACTTCACTTGTATGGTTTGATGGATGCATATTTGAACACTGGTGGATCTTCCGTGCTGGAAGGTTTGAAACATGATCTCCTTCAAGAACTGGTTGATTTCTCCACAAGGAAATGATGGTCATCTATATGTCATCTATCAGGAACCCATGCTTTTACCAAACTTTAGCAGACTATACCAGACATATCCGAATAGTGTAATATAGTGTATGCATGTGTGTGTGTGTGCTTGTTGTGCATGTGGACATTGCTCATGTCGATTTATGTCCATGTATGATCCCCGATCACCCATGCCCAACCAACCTCTGCCCTTTTGGCAAAGAAGTGCTCAAAGTCGAAGCGAGATCCTTGGCTTTGAAAATACTCTTGGCTTTGAATAATGTTTTCAATAGTTCAGCATCCCAGCTCTTCACTCAGTGTGACACAGATATCTGACTTAAGCCAAACAACTAAATGATACAACGCGATACATCACGAGACACGATACGGGAAGCACACTGAGAGCTAGCACCGAAGTTGCCAACTTCTGCAGGAGCAGCAGCTGGAAATGCCAGCTCCACCAACCTGAGCGAAGCAACGTCAAGCCCGTCACAAAGCCCGTCACAAAGCCCGTCACACATCGTCACACACACGAAGACCGCAGAGCCCAGCCCTAAGCCATCCCATGCCATCTCTAAGCCCAGATTCAGCAAGGCTTGATGATAGCAGGACTCATGACGAATCGTTGCTGCAAGTCACACAAGACTTCCGGATTCAAATTGTGCAAGATTCCACCATTTCTACGTCCTGAGTGCCAAGATATCCCAAGATATCCCAAGCAAGGCCACCCGGCTTTTGCAAAGGCATAGATATCGCCCGCAGCACAGCTCGACCATCACCTTCCGAAAATAGAACCTTCAGATTCTTAGACTTTGGAGACTTCTGAGTCAGATCTTGCAGGATGTTGCAATATTACATATTGCGATCTCTGGTCAAAAATGTTGGAACCTCTGTTGACAACCTTCGAGCGACCTTTCATTTTAAGATTTTAAGGGAGTATTCATGTAGTATTCATACCAGCACTGACAGGTGACACGAACTGATAAGGACAGACAGAACACAACATGACATATTGTGGCGTTGTTCAATTTCCATTTGCACCAGGATTTGGGGCGCGCCTTGCAAAGATTTTCTTCCTGGGTACTGATGCTCGAAAGGGATCCTGGAGAGGTGATTCCAGGGTGCTTCCACGCTCAAAGATGTCATTATTCAATCTATATATGACAAATTGTGAGGGCAAGGCAGAAGACCTTCAAGTCCATCGACGTATCCACAAAGCTCTCCGAGAGCCTCCGGGTCCAAATGCTGCCAACAAAATGAACACAAAATTATATATCAAATGTTCAATCAAACTACATCTGGTCCAACCAGCGTCAGGCCTCACTTGCTGAAGCACCCTTGTAGCACGCTTGGAATCGTCCCGTGCCTCTGTCAAGTCAACTCTTGTTCATTGTGTAGAAATTCGGCATCTTTGTGCCCCCAAAGCGTTACACACAGTTTGGCCAACCTGGGAAATATATAGGGAAAAGAACTACGGAATGGAAACATTGAGCAATCGCACTCGTCAAGGGCCAGGTTGTTCAACCAAAATCAGCTATTCCATGTTTTTTCATAGTGACAGACTGAATTGACATCTGCTACTGAAGATATTGTATTTTCTGGACCTTCTACGTTGCTTTTTTTTCTGGACTTTCTGTTTCATTCTGAGTGGTTCATCTCGCAACACCGGGCTTTTCGCAAGTTTGAAAAGCAAATTCAGTGGATTTCAGTGGTCTGTCAGGATTTTTCAATCCCATTTTGAGTCTGCGGCACGTAATGAGCCTGACAGATTGATCAAAAACCATTTAATTCATGAACATACAAGTGAGACTAGTGTCATGTCTCCCTTTATGTTGCGGTCCTTCTCTGTCCAACGTCAGGGTTCAAACAGTCTCCTGTTTATGTTTTCTCGTTGGAGTGGCCTGACAGCTTCTATCTTTGCCAAAAAGGCTTGCAGCACGTTGGCGAACTCCCTAGCCAGGAGGGATCAACAATGAAAAAGAAATGCTCAAACAGGCAAGACTTATGCAAGGCTACAGATAGAAGATATGCAAAATTATGCAAAGCTACAGTTACAGCATGTTACAGCTATGCTGGGCTACGCTCTCCTTCACAAGTACCGCGCAGCTCAAGGCTCTGTCAATCACAAAGATTCCAAGATATTATATTATACTCTATATAGATATATATATATATATGTATGTATATATATACTGCATATTACTGCATATCATGTATATGTATATATATATATACAATATATATTATACATATTGTATATATATATTATACACAGTATAGACATGTATAGACAGTATATTATGATATATTATGTATGCATGTGTATACCTATATATTCCAATTCTGCCAAAAGGGCTCTCCAACTTCTTGTGCAACTGCCAGGACCACCTGAAATCTCTTCAGAAAGCTGTCCCAGTCTCTCCATGTTTCCAATATCCTCCCATCACATTGCATGTCACATTGCATGTCACATTGCATGTCACATTGCATGTCACATTGCATGTCACATGTTCATACTCTTCATCCTTGCTACTCTTTGCCACTGCACAGATTTCTCAGAACCTTCACCGACAAGGGCACCAATGAGCTTTCCACATACCTGCAAGGGACAGTGGACTAAAGTGGATGAAACAAATCTACGTGGGCTTCCAGCTCTGGGATGCGCTGGGTACCATGGAGCAAGTGAAGTCTTGCTTGGTCTGGGGCATGTGGTCTCTGATGGGCGCACAAAGGTGCCTGACCGAAACGGTGGTGCCGGACACAAGCGCTTTCTTCGACACCTGAGGTGAGCACAGAGCGCTCAGAGATGTTCAAAGCAAACTCTCGAGTCAAATCAACACATGCCACTGTAGGCCATGGCCACATTGCAAGTGCATGTGCTGCTGCAGTTGGACACATTTGGCAGTTTTAGTTCAGAGGAAGGGCCTTCACTGGATGATTAAACAGAGCTATAAAAGGATTTGGTTAAAGGTTGGGGGGGCAAGGTTGGACAGAGTTTCAAATCAAATTCAATCAGCGGTAACGGAAGAATCACGAACGCAATTGCTGCAATCATCTGCAATCCATTGTCTCCCAAAGTAGCTTAAGAGCACTGGCGACCGTCCAAATTCCGAATCAAGCTCCCAACCCAGAGGTGGGCAATACCACGGTGCCAAGCCCGGCAAGATACCCTGCCAGAATTTTCGGAAGACCCAATGGGACCGCCCACAATAGCTTTTGATTCTTTGTGTCACTCTGGTTTTGGCCCCTTGATCTGCAGCGTGTGACTTCACTTCAGCATAGAGCTAGGATCAGGTGAGAAAAGGCGACTCGCGAATCCCATGAGACCAAAGACAGAAACCACTGGTCTCTGGTTCTGGCAGTGCCTCTCTGATTATCCTTCGCAGATCTCTGTAGTCTGTAGATCTTTGTATAGTATGTGCTGCCAATGTGTGACTGCAAGAAATTTCCCAGGAGATCAACTAACAAAGGAAATAAATTCCCAACAGATCCCAACTGCCTGTGATTGAGCAGAACTTCCGCATACGTAGAGCGATAATCTGCAGAAATTTCTGACTTGAGACTTCACGCAAACCCATGAACGTGTCTGTATCACTGGCAGCAACCGTGAAATGCAACTGACAGAGAAACGGAGTACACTGGGCAAGTAAGTTGATGGAGTAAACATCGCAAGAAGCAACAAGCATCAAACAGCAATGCGTGGGAGAATCTCACGGTCACATACGGTCACCAACCTAAGCAGGACCGAAGTTGCTGCCATCCAAGCGCATGATTTATACAGCAGTTTGAATCACTGCACCAAGAAAACAACTGTTTTTTGAAGTTGGAGAGTGTAAGACAAAACAGCAAACAACCATGAAAAGAATAGTTTTACTAGTGCAAAAAAATCGAACATGTTTGAGGGTCGGCATCCAAAAGTTTGTGTGCGTTGAAGTTGTCTCTGCTTTGACCTGAAAATGAATTTCGTAAGTTATCCAATGGCCCCATGTGGTGGTGTTCCGGGCTTCACAGCTGCATGGTTATCCAATCGCAGCGACAGTTTGACAACCTTCATGCAGTTCATGCCAATTCTCGTAGACAGGACGTCCACATCATGACCACATGATACTCACTGCCATGGCACCCAAACGAAATCCATGCGTCGGTGTGGACAGAAAGCAACGTTGTGCTGCAAACAAATCAGCAGCCCTCATTTCTAGTATGACTGCGCTCGATAATCTGAATTCGTTGCCAGTGGGCTATGTCAAGCATGGCAGATTCTTCTTCTCTGATAGAGCAGAACAATTTATGTAGAATACGTACACAATTTAATCCGCCGGCCTGCCGGCGTGTCTGATTGGAACGTGTTGTTCTTGTTTCTGTTCTTGGCTTGTACTTGTTCCTTTGTTCTCTTGCCGCGCGTTTTTGCTTCGTCTGAATCAAGTCCAACCCCCCTCCCCCCACTGCCCACCTACTACTACTACTACTACTACTACTACTACTACTACTACTACTACTGCTACTGCTACTGCTACTGCTACTGCTACTGCTACTGCTACTGCTACTGCTACTACTACTACTACTACTACTACTCCTACTACTTCTTCTACTACTACTACTCCTCTACTCCTACTCTACTACTACTACTACTCCTACTACTACTCCTACTCCTACTAACTACTCCTACTCCTACTCCTACTCCTACTCCTACTCCTACTACTCCTACTCCTACTCCTACTCCTACTCCTACTCCTACTCCTAATAAAAATACCACACTACCAATACCACTACACACTCTTACTACCTATACTACCTCTACTAAAATATACTAATCTACTACACTTCTACTACCTAGAATACCTCTACTACATGTACTACCCCTACTACCATATACTTACCTCTACTACCTCTGACTAACTCTACTACCCTACACCTCATACTTACCTTAATACCTCTACTACCTCTACTACCTCTACTACCTCTACTACCTCTACTACCTCTACTACCTCTACTACCTCTACTACCTCTACTACCTCTACTACTACTACCTACTCCTCCTCCTCCTCCTCCTGCTGCTGCTGCTGCCGCTACCGCTACCGCTACCGCTACTGCTGCTTCTACTGCTTCTACTGCTTCTACTGCTTCTACTGCTACTACTGCTACTACTGCTACTACTGCTACTACTACTACTACTCCTGCTACTACTGCTACTACTACTACTACTACTACTCCTGCTACTCCTACTGCTACTACTACTTACTACTACTTACTACTACTTACTACTACTTACTCCTACTTACTCCTACTTACTCCTACTTACTCCTACTTACTCCCTACTTACTACCTACTTACTACCTACTTACTACCTACTTACTACCTACTTACTACCTACTTACTACCTACTTACTACCTACTTACTACCTACTTACTACCTACTTACTACCTACTACCTACCTACTACCTACCTACTACCTACCTACTACCTACCTACTACCTACCTACTACCTACCTACTACCTACCTACTACCTACCTACTACCTCCCTACTACCTACCTACTACCTACCTACTACCTACCTACTACCTACCTACTACCTACCTACTACCTACCTACTACCTACCTACTACCTACTACTACCTACC